CAGGTCGCTGCTCAGACCTCTGGCCCACATTCAAGTATGGCGGAAATTTTTTTCTTATTTTTTTAACCTAGATTCCTAGGTTGAATTTTCAACTACTCCCCCAGACAACTGTCTAGGGAGGAGAAACAAACCCATGCCACTCTTTAGTGGTTATCTTTGTGGGTCAGCATTGCACTGACTCATATCAACTATTATTTTACTCCCAGACAACACTCTAGGGAGGAGCGGCCTCAGTGACCTTTGGAATCACTGGCCATCACCAGGGGTATTGACCTTCGGTGAGTTACCTGTGTCACCGGAGTATCAACCTTCAGGTGTGGAATCACTGGCCATCACTGGGGCATTGACCTTTGGTGAGTTACTTCCGTCACTGGAATATCAACCTTTGGGTTGACTGCTTCATCTCTTGCTCAACCCCGCAGTGGACCAATTCAGGTGTCACTGCCCTTTCTCATCAACAACAATGCTGTTGTTGATTCTGTTCCTTTACTCTAGCTTGTCATATTGACACTTGCTACTTCATCATCGACAACACTGTCGTTGAGATCTGGGTGCATATGTTCCAGGAGAAACTCTAAGTGGGCTTTGCCTACAAACTACTATTATAGCCTCCTGCAATGAGTGTGCCCCCACTTGCATACATTCTTCGTATGTAGAGTGTTATATTTCTTTAATATGCTTGCTTTCCCGTTCATATGCTTGTACCCTGTCTGCGATTCAATATTGCAAGGGAGGAGGATGTAAAGGATTAACCTTACTTCACTATAATTCCGATTATAGTGATATTTATATTATGTTGCATCACTATAATTCCCATTATAGTGATGCTGTTCTTTCTTTATTTATTTGTGCCGAGATATGTAAATTACATATATATACCTTGGAGTAGTTGTAAAGGCCCGGTAGCCTTTTACCTCTACTCCGTTGAATATACAGCACATTAAAGCTTATGTTTAGACAGACCTACTGAGGCCTGAGGCGAATGGGGGAACAGAACGTTACTGTCCCCAAAATAGTAAGCAACCTTTCAGTGGGTCCCATTGCGATATGCTCAAGGTCGAGCCCTTCAAAGAGAGAAAGTCGGGCATCCGCTGAACCGCTTGTTGCCTGTGCCTGGGCATGCTCAGACATGTGTGTGAAACGTAAGATATTCAAAGAATCAGTGTCAGAGGCGAAAACTAGTGTGAGACTGCAGCAGCAGATATGCGCGAGTTGAGGGGGGAAGCGCAGCAAGGGAAACAGGCAGGCAGCAGTGGAAAAATCACGAGAGTGAGTTCGAAAGAACAGCAGCAAGTTGGCCTTGTACTCACCACGAGAGTCATGAGAGATTCAGGTGATAAGGAAGGAAAAAGGGGGCGCTGTGAAAGCCCTTTTTATAAGCACGGCCTGAATCGTCGTGAGCACTCTTGTGATGAGTGAAGTTCAGTACGTACCTCTGCTGGTGTGGTCCGCTTCATGCATCCGCACCAGAAAACCCAGCGTACGACTGAGGCACGGTCCCTGGGTCCATCAAATGGTCAGGTTGTGCAGCAACTCGTGAAAGCAGCAAAGGGGCAAGTGTGGTGCTGAGACAGGTGCATCAGGGTGATCAAGCCAGGGGAAGTCATAGCATTGGCTGGGCCGAGTTCAATTGTTGCCCCATGATTAGTCTCGTGAAATGAAAACATTAAACAACAAGTTATCCACCATTTCCCCCATATCTCCACCGAATTTCCAACAAACTCATAGTCACTGCGTTCAGAGCCAAATTATCCTGTGTACTATTCTGCACTGTAATAATGCACAAGCTGTGTTATCCTGTGCTATTCCCTGAAAAATCCCAAGCCTCTGAGCAGGCACCGGTTTAACTTACGAGATGTGCAAAATCACGCCTGGGTATTTGCCGGGAATATAGCAGGGCTGAGCACGTGCCTGCACTATCCTCTGTCCTATTCCTTGTTTCTGCAAAATCCGTGTTCTATCCTGCATCGCGCACTAGCTCAGGCCTATTCACTATTAATATTTGTTTTAATGATGTTTGGTTTTGTGGTGAAAATCTTACTCCGAAGGTCTTTCTTGTCCGCGTCCACACCTGATGCTTGCTCCGGATTGATGAGGATAATCGACTCCATCTCATCCTTACTTGCACCAACCTTACCCTCTAACCCTTCATGCCTCCTGGTGGCTTTCTAGCACAGAGAACCTTAATCAATATTACCAATCATCAGGCAATGCACTGCTCTCAATCGCACCATAATCGCACTTTGCGCTTGCATATTTTTTTAGGAATTGTCGAACTGTGATCTGGTCCACTTGGCTTTGAGCAAGGTGAAGTACTGCTCCGCGGCATCACGGGCGTTGTTCTCATCAATCATTCCTTTTTTGATGTGGATCTTAATTGTTTGTGCCAGGAATCAGCGGTTTTGCAAAGGTGTGTCCACTTTCACGTACCGGTGTTCCTAAGCTAATTCTCACCACCTCACCGCCTCACTAACCACTTATTGGCGCCTTGAACCCCAACCACCAGTTTGGGGTAAGGACAGGCTCTCCATCTGCTCTTAGTCGCGTTGGAGCATCATCTGGCAAAGGCGATGGTAGAGGGTTTTCACATCAATACTTTCTATGTCGAGTCCTGGGCATTCAAGGCTAGATCAGTAAGCCTGACCCACATTACATGTTATGGGGCATGCGACTCACACATGCATTGGCAGGCCACTTGTTCTTTGTCTTACCTCTCACACCGTTTCTAGCCGTTCAGGTGAGTGTCCGCGGTACTATTAGCGGATTTTAGCTGCACTTATTGAGTCATCTGCCCTATGGGAAGACTATCGCTACTTTGGCCAGTGGAGTAGTGTTCCATTGCTTCAAGTCTGATGTTGTGGGCATGCTGAGAATGCTGGTTCTGATTGCGTTACCGTGGAGATCTAGCTGAGGACCAGATGGAGTTTTGCGCATCAGCGAGGTGGACAGCATATCGCCTTCAGGACCTTGAAGTCCATTGGGTGTATTTATTGTTCTTACAGCACTACTATCTGAATTTGCTCTAAAAGTATGAAGCACAAAGAGGATGCGGAAAATGAGTGGAAAATGAGCAGTACCGAATATTGTCGGATTTAAGAGTCGTTTGTATGTGCGTGCAACGGACCTCTATTCCGTGTGCAATATTCTGTGAAATATTCAGTAACGGATACTGCCAGGACCTAGCTGGTGCCCCGCAAATCCGGTCAGCGAAATCCCTGTGCTATTCTCTGCCCCAGTGTGCAGGAGTTCTGAACTATTCCTGACATATCCTGCGATCATTCTAGTGTGCAATATAACAGAGAATATCACAGATATCCCTGTACTATTCGGCTACGGATAATCTTTCTCTAAACGCAGTGAGTGTGTTAGGGGTTTCCGAGCCATTCACCAAGCCCTTGCCACGTGCGTGGGTTGCACCAATTTGTCAAGCTATTCTCTAGTCCGGACTCCACCACAAATGGCGAACTTTTCATTGCATGTCGAGTCTTCCGGCCATCTTCCACCTAGCATGTCATTCTCCAGCTGAATTGTAAAGGTCCGTCCACAGCCAACCGTTGATTAGCACAATTCCTGTAATCCAGATCGCAGGGCGATGTTACATGAAACGAATTGTACGGTGTCTAGACGCAACCACAGATCGGGACAGTAAAGACCGAAAACAACAAATGTTAGAGCCCACATCACGAGAAAGAATAAGATATTCTATCGGGGTGCCCAACGTGGCAATTCCGACCCAATCATGGGCCAAAGTGACCATGCGGAGCTAGGACATAATAGGCAAGACATTAGTGGCTAGGCGAATATAGGATGATGGGAGATATGGTCCCTGTTACTATGTTGGTACTTTGGGCAGTACTGGTGATGTGACGTCAACCAGCCGCATAAATAACATAAAATGAACGCGTTTGCAAAGTCTGGGCATCCAGTCCTATTCATTACACTGCGGCCTACATCGGCTCAGCCACGCGAATTGAGATGTCGGGTTGTGTCTATCAAGGGGACTCAGTCGCACTGTGAGAGTTGGTAGTGCTACTTGCCCCCTCGGAGGGAGTGTGATGTCACAGCCCACTAGCACTCTCCCTGCGCGCACGCGGCCGTGACGACGACGTGGATGGTGATAACTTGGATGATGACCTCTCGCCATTCCTCTCCTTATCGGGGGCACTTGCGGGCAGCGGGCCAGGATGGTTCTCGTCGAGATAAAGTCGATTCTGTTCGATATACTCGATCACACTGGCCGGCAGTAGGTACTGGATACTCATTCCACGGCGTAGGAAGAGGCGGATTTTGGTGGAGGAAACATCGTTCTGAATCATCTGGCGAATCACATAGATGTTGTCATGCCATGCGCTCAGAGATTCGAGAGCTTCGTCGACGTCGGAACCAGCTCGTTCAATGATGAAACACCCATAGCGTCCAAGAATATGTTCAAGCTGGAGTCGAAGAAAACGTGGTTAGCATGATTTCTATAACGAGAGAAACGCCGCGCGCAGGGGTGGGAAATACACACGTCTGCAGGTGACCAGACGCCGGGCTCGGACATTGTGTGAATTAGGTCGGACCCTGCGAGCAGCATGACTCGAACTTGATGTTTCACTCCTGAACATTGGGGACAAAGGAGATGCTCAGTAGCGTGGATCAAAAGCAGAAAAATTCAGCGCACCCTCCATGTCATCCACTCCCCCCCTTACTGTGTTAATTTCATGGTCAAAGTGGTCAAGCACAAGAGCTGTGCGTTGGTACTCCGTTTGCAGCGCTTCCCAATCGTCCACCATCAACCACCTGCTGGTCTGGTCGCAAGCGAGTCTACACATCTCGACTCTATTATGACCGGGAAGATGTCCCGGCGGGAGGAACATTAACAATGAGCCAATAATGGCAATCGTTGGGATAAACCCACCGTCGGGAAGCATTGAGCAGACCAGGCTTCTTGTAGCCGTCCCCGACAGGCGACATGTAACCACCAACGACCTCAAAATCGGTCTCCTGACGTACATAATCTTGCGCCATTTCGAACATTCGCATGTGTGCATAAGTGATAGGGGAGAAGGAGCCACAAGCTACAAGAACAACAGGAGTCTTATCGGGATCACTAAGTCGCTTGAGTCTGTGCGTGAAGAATGTGTAGTTGCTCATTTCTGCGTCGCCAGACATCGCTGACAGGGTGATCGGTGAAGGAACAGGGTCGATTTGCGAAATGGATCCAGATCTGGAAGTTGCCGGGTCACATCACCTGACGGCTCCCGTGATAAAACAATTGTATTGATGCCTTTTACCTTACTGCTCACGATCATCTCATGCCTCTGATTCGTCCCAGAAAAGAGTCGACTGGTACCAAAGAGGCCGAGGTAAGCATGTGAACGATCGTGGGATCCCGATTCCCATTCTTCAGCTGACCACCACTCATGTGCTTTCTGTTCACGAAACCACAGCCAAAGCTGCCCACTACGCATGCATCTCTACTCAGCAGTGTCGTCGACGCCTACACTAATCTCACGAGGGATCAGCTCGTCTTATTTCTGTCGATAAGGCACCTGCCTGTCGATGGCTCCTCACTTGATTTAGCTAAGAGGCTGGCTGAGCATGATCTAGAAAGCTACTCTACGTCTCCTGTTGTTCAGTCCTTCCCGGGCCCTCCGGAAGTTGCTCCAGAACACCCTCCACCACCGCCCATAGCCAAGCCATCCAAGTTGCCTACGCTCCCTGCTGAACTCCTTGCGGACATCATGGACTGTGTGGGTGATTGGGAACTAGCCAAAGCTGTGGGAACGGTCACATCCCTCAAAGCACCAAAAGAATGGGATCGAGCTTCCTCTGCAGATCTTTCGGCCCTAGTTGGGAGTACCAAATTTGACTTCTCGGCCCTAACCGCGACGGGGGCCAACGCGATCGTCAGACTTTGCTACACCCATATCCTCGATCTTTTGAAGAGTCACGACCCCACCTCGTTCGATCGGCTCTACGGCGGTATTCACTCACGACTCATCCCTTTCCGTGCTTCGTGCTCCGGTCGGACGGAAGTCCTCACATGGTGGAAGGGGCAGCATGAAATACCTAAAGACTACGGAGACGATTGTATTGATGAAGCCTGCCGCCATGGGCAGATCGAAGTTCTCGAGTGGTGGAAACGCCATTCAAGTACACTTCCGCTGCAGTATACTGAGGCGGCGCTGGAGAATGCCAGCGCACGAGGCCACATCCATGTGCTGGAATGGTGGAAGCAGTCAGGGTTGTCACTTAAAGTTGGTCGTGTCATGGACTTAGCAAGCAAGGCTGGTCAGGTGGAGGTATTGGATTGGTGGCTCCATTCAGGTATCGAAGTCAATTATGATAATGGAACCCTCGAGCACGCCAGTCGGAACGGACGCCTTAATGTTTTAACTTGGTGGCTGCATTCTGGGTATCAAATGATGGTGCGTTAGGGCTTTAGTTTTCATAAGAATTTTGACTTCTCCTGAAACTTTTTACTTAGTACAATGAAGACGTGTTGATCGGTGCGACACGCCACAATCGGCCGGAGGTCCTCCAGTGGTGGTATGATAGCGGCCTTCCTATTCATTACCGCATATGTGATATCGAGGAGGCTGTCGAGGATGCCATCCGACAAGGCTCCGGGGCGAAGGAGTGGTGGATGAAGCTAGGAGTGGATTTCAATGCGAATAACATTGAATGGGTACAACTTAAGTTATTGCGGTGAGGTATCCTTCTCGTGCAGGTCAGAGCATCGGGTCTGATGAACCTTAGTTATCAATAACTTCATCGTGCAGCCTTACATCCTCGACGTTAGATGAAAGTCTACCCGTGCGAGTTTAGATGCCTTATTTGCTTCTTTCACGTCTGAACTATTGTCTTCTCATATCCTTGTGTCTGTTTCTTTTCAATCCTCCACGACTCACTATACCCATCATTGCATGCATTCACCCATCCTTGTGCTACGATTTATGTGTACTAGCCATTAGATCCCCCGTTTCTGTCCGGCTTTTCCTCGCACTCCACATCGATTTCCATCTTGCAGGAGAATCGGTACGGGTTAAAATACACGCGTGTTCCCTCAGGGATTAAACGTCTGTATTTGATTGCGCGCTACGACATTTAGGATTCCATCCCTTCCGTCTCTGGGGCCGGTCCACCCCCGCCCTCGGCACGATCCTTGTCCTGTCGACGAGCCTGTACAATATCATCTACTCGGAGCAATACGCGGGCAGCCTAATCAGAGGTAACGGGGACTCAGTAAGTTTTACATCCCAAAGCAAGAAAATATCAACCTCGATGGCGGTTTTAAGGGTCTGGATCTGAGTAACCGGCACAAATTGATTATTTGTTTTCGAACAAAGAAAGTATACCAACCTTAACACTAGCAGATTCAAGGAGTCCATACTTTTTCATGTCAACAAGTTTGCCTGTATTACCATCGATACCCCACATGTGCCCCCCAACGACCTGCTTTGCCTGTTCGAATAGAAAGTGCCGCTCATGTGAATAATGACAACGCCAATGAGAGAAAGCTTCGCATACTCTTAACTCAGTCAACGCCCGGATGGCATTACCGCCCGCATTCTGTATCAGTGTTCGTGGGATAACTTCCATAGCGTCCGCTATTGCTCTCACGCCCCAAGCCTCGACGCCTTCGATTGTCCGTGCTTTCGCTGTCAACCCTACACTCACTGCCATCTCGGTGGCGCCTCCTCCAGGAGCAAGACGAGGATTGAAGAAAACGTTACGTGCGACGGACATAGCGTCCGCGAGATTTCTGTCCACTTCATTGAGGATATCTTTCGAAGGGCCACGGAGGAGAATGGTACATGCGCGAGGGGCAGAGCACTCGGTGATGAATGAGAAGTACCTGGTATCGGGATATCAATGAATCGGACGTGCATTTCCGCGACACCGCTTACTCATCACCCATTTTGTCTACATAGAAGAGCCCACAACCCGTCCCGACATCTGAATCACGGAGATCCTCAACGCGATTCACGATGGTGCCTCCAACAGCTCGAGCGATACGGTTGTTGTCGGATTTGCGGACCCGACGAAGGACAGACACGCTAGCTCTCGAGAGGTAATGCTGCGCAATGTCTGCGATGGGTCAGAGTGTGGAACAAGCATGCAAGGACTAGCTGAAGAATTTACCTGACACGCCCTTTTCGGTAATGACGAGATCGGGCTTAAAGGAGATCAGAGTTTGGCATAGTTGCTGCACCTGCTCCTCCTCGATCTCTTGTGCTCGGGCCCAGTCCTCCTCCTTCGACAGTTCCATGCTGGTCTGACTTTCGCCTTTCTTGTACTCAAGAGGACAATCCAGAAGTATGATGCGAGGATTAACTATTCGTCTTCGCATACTTGGATGCGTGACGTCCTTGTTGAGCATTACGCCACGGATAACTCTGCTTTCTTCGATTTCGCCTCCTGGAACCTTCTCAACACGAGCATATCGCTTTATGTCAACCGTTTTTATCCCATCATCGTCGCGCATGACTGTCCGTACAGCCTGCAAAGCAAGATTGCACATAAGGGAAGACCACCTTGCGACGAACTTCGTTCCAACTGAAGTCTTGATCAGATTAAGCATCTCTGCGTCGCTGGATGTGTCGATAGGGACCGAAACGCGGGTAATAATGTCTAGCCCTTCTTTGAGTGCTTTGTTAAAGGCAGATATGATGACTACGGGATGCATATTCCTTTCGAGAAGAGGAAGAGCCTGAGCGAGAATTTCTCCTGCCAGAATGATAACGCTTGTTGTGCCATCTCCAACTTCTTCATCCTGCGTCCGGCTTAGATCGATCATATTCTTGGCGGCAGGATGTGCAACGTCAATCTCACGGAGTATCGCGTTCCCGTCATTGGTAAGACTGAACACATTGGTAAGGAGTGGTTGTTCAGCTCTGGCAAAGTCAAACCCACAGAATGCCACCCATAGGATCAAGTATCATCTTGAGCATAGCCTTTGGTCCAAGACATGTTCTTATAACATCGGCAACAACCTGGTGAGGAACCTCAGGAATGTTTCAGTCACAGGTTAGGGGGTTACTCACCTTTCCAGCTTGGATATTCGATGTCTGTGCTTTGCGTCCCGATTGCCGTTCGGGCGCAGTATCTAACAAGCCAGACACGCGTATGGATAATTTTTCTCCCAAATTCCCGGAAAACACGCACTCATAACAAAGACCGGCGTTTGGGCGTTCATCGTGAACTATTCTGCGACGATATTTTGGGTTTGAACGAAATCGCCTTTTCTGATACTGAGGCAGTGTTCGCAATCGCGTGACTTGGTCTGACTTGGTCGGAGGACGTTCTGCTTGCATCAACTAGGCAGGACTCCAGCCTCTATGACTTCGTAACAATAGATGCATCAACTGCACGGCGTCTGCACCTGGCCGCCATCTTTTCCTGCCCGGACACTGTGTAGCCAAGTGTACCTTCGCCCCTCACGCGCTCTGCGTTTCTTCCACTAGAAGCCTACTTCATATTCCTCGGCGTGTAATGGACAAATGTACTACATACTGTAAATGTACTCGCATCTCGGGCTACCATGAACTTCGATCTGGGATGATGCGCCTTTGGCACATCTACTATGCAGGTTTCGCAGATGACTTCCTCGTCTAGGGGATTCTGTGTTTAATTCGCTGCGCAATCGACATACGTCCTCACACACCAAACCCCAACAGCCATCCTCCTATCACTAGTGACGCTCTTTCACATCTCCTTAGTCACCGACCGTTATCTGAATAGCAAGCTTTGTCATGGCCTGTGGACGTGAGGGATGTTCGATTGCCGTCATGTCCTATGGTTACATTGTGCTGGCCAGGTATGTGGGCTAAAATGCAGCGGGTGCTTTGCAAACTTCCCGATCGTGTTTGTCATTACCAGCCGGCTTTCGATGATCACTCGCTTAATGAAATAGCTGTGTCCATAGGTGACCCTCACGACTGCGATCATGTTGGAGTGGGGCGGGTATTCTCCCTGTGTGACTTCGTAGATGATGGATTAATTAGGTAGCCCGGCAATCCTTGGTCTAGATTATGTCACTAAAAGGTAGAAGAGCCAGAACGATTGTGGAGCATGCTCGATCAGTGTACAAGATGATTAGATGCAATGTCTAGATCCTATCAATAAGGATATTGTTGCCATGTGGTGAGAAGCGATGATACACCATGCCATGCCCTGGCAGTCTTGTTCTTAGTCGTCTCCAATTGTCAATGCCTCCAAATCAAGTAGGAGTAACTTGTAATCCGGGTCCCCCGCCGGCGCACCATCTGCAAGAGTTTGATCCACCCCACTCTGGAGTTTTAGCATAGCTTTGTATTCGCTAAAACTGAACTGTGGTCGTTCTCTCACAGTGTCCAGCATAGCCTAAATTTTGTGACAGTCAGGAAACGACCACCGAAAAGCGCTGGACGCACCGAAGGACCAAGGAAAAACAATGAATAGAATCTACGAGCCCTTTCGAACCCTGTGTTGACGTCCTGAGACATAGCATCGATGGAACGAAGACCCTGATGTAGTGCCACTATATTCCTCAGCATCTTCCGAACCCCTTCTGCGTTTGCTAGGCGGATGGATCGAACTTCAGCGATAAGGATGTGTTCCATAAGTGACCCCAGGCCTTCGAACACGAAACTGGTGTACACTCGTGAGTCTGATCACTCTAGCGTTCCAGAACAGCTGGCACGTACCGACGCTCGCGATCGGGTAATGTGGCAACAAGACAGTTGTCATATGCAGTTATTTCCTCGTTCAACTCATCAATGAATGGGTCAGGTTCCGACGCTTCTTGGTCAATTTGATAGGATGACTGGCAGACTGTCAGATTATTGATTACAGGGTTAGGACATCACATACTCTGCGAATCCCGCTTTGCAGATGAAAATAAGTGCGACACCGTAAATCGATTCTGACTGAGTATAAAATGTGCTCTGATAATCGATCATAGATCGTCAGCAGAGCATCGAAGCGCCTGCGAAGAGCAACATGTTAGCAATTTTCAGGTGGGGGAAGGAGCTGATGCATACAAAAGCATGGCACGCGTCAATGGGAGTCGCAACTCTGTACTGTCTTGGCGTGGAGCAGACAAGTGATCGGAGAAAAGATAAGAGTCCGACGTTATTGGGGTTGACGTTGGTCTCGGAGTTTCAACCGCAGAGACAGGACTGTTGGGTTCTTCGGCAATCTGACGAAGGCGTATAAATTGTATCATGAGCCATAACTACCGGAGATCATTGATCAAGCTGATTCCGTAATTTGCGAAAGGAAACATACTAATGATTGATATAAGTTAGCCAAACTTGTTACATTTCTGATGGGACCAAGATTATCTTTTCTCTGGATGGGGGATATCTCTAGTAGAGCGCCCTCGTGAATGGTTTCTTTTGAACAGGCCTCATCCCGTGAGGCTTGTGCTCCGGCCTGCATCATCATCAGTGTTGTGCGGTCATGGTGAATTATTCAAACTCACGGTAAAAAGGACGTTTAACAATGACACCATCTCCGGTTTCTGTGCCCAGGCGGCTGGTCTTAAATATGCGGATTTATCCTGTTCGATATCTTCTCTGGATGGCTTTGTAAATAACTGCAATCGATCATTACATCGTTGATAGTACTGATCAACCACTATTAAAATTAGACGAGCGTAGTGTTCTTGGTGGAAGGGGGCATGTTGCATCATCGTGCATAATGAATTGACAAGGGCGATGAGATGCACGCTCGACTGAGTTGGTCATGATTGAGCAAGGGTGATGGTAGAGTAAACTAAGAGGACCTTACTTTGACCAGTGGGTGGGATGAAAGTGATGTCCAACCAATGTCCTCATGAAACGCGTCGAGACCGCTGAATGACTCTCGTGAGAGCGAGATGACGCGTTCTTCTAGTTGCGGCAAGTAAATATTTAGTACGAAGTCGTTGAGTATAGACTGCGCCTCAGAGAGCATGAGGGGCACTCCGGTATGTGTGAGGACGGATGAGATGGAATCAAGCCACATAAGAGTTGGTCGGAATAAAGCGGTAACATGAAATGCGTGGGGTCGAATCAGAAGGCGATGCTCGCTTGTTCCTGAGAAGCGATCATCGGCTGCAAGAGCCGAGACCGATGTTGAAGCAATCTCGGTAGAGCCTGTCACTAAACCAGGAACCATCTCTTTAAGGACTTTTGACAGTTCATCGTCGTGCTTCCGAAGAGCACGACCTGACGCCTTAAAGTCGGTGTCGGCGAACTTAAACACACTCTGTCAAAAGCGGATTAGCCAGCGTGGCTCATCAGGTAACACGCATCACCGTACTAGAGGCTTCTCGCGACCTTGGCCACTCAGCACGACATTGATTGAAGCGATCGGGTTACGGCTCGAGACGGACAGGTTATCCTCGTCTCGAAGATAGAGCTTAATCAGCTGGCTGATCTATGGCGAGGAATTAGCCGTAGCGGATTCAAGGTTCAACTTTCATTGTACCTCAGTCTGAACCGGACTCCACACGTCTGCCAAAGGAATTAATGAGCCAAACTGGATCCCCGAAGAATCTTTAAAGTCTCGTCTCTGTGCACAATGAGCCCGGGCACCATTCGAATTCAGGCGACTTACACTGCTAATGCGGTTGGAAACCTCGTAGGTCACACGGAATCCCTGAAGTACGGCATTCAGCTTGGAGAACAGTGTCCAAAAGAGATCCCTAAGAGTTTCAAGATCAGATTCCTTCGAAGTAGCTTCTAGCACGATCAACCGGAGCGACGAGGAAGCGTCATGTGCAGAGCGAGGTGTGTCAGCGAAGGTGTATGCGGCAGTTCCAACAGTAGTAGATACTGTTGGGCTGCGAAAGCGAGACAACCCGATACCACGGAGAAAGTCCGAACGCTCGTGGACCTCTTCGATAGTTTTTTCCACCAAATGGAACAATTCGGCTGGCAGACGTTGAACAACCGTATCCAGCACACTAACTAGCTTCCCAAGGACCGCAAGTGCTTCTAAAAGTGACTCAATGAAAGTGAATGAATCATATTCAGGATTCTCGTCGTCAGGAGACGTGAGTGGCTTTGACGGCAACATTGGGAGCGAATCGCTTGCTTGTGATGCCACAGCATTATAGAGGGAGGACCCGAGAGTCCTTTCACGAAGACTCGAAACTGTGAGATCACTGGGGTCTTCCAGATTCATTGGTGACTCGTTGGAAGTACGCAACGATAAATGCTTGAGGTAGCGGTCCATCCGTGGATGGTGGGAGGTTACCGGGTCGGAAACGATAGAACGCCCAATATCATCTAACTGGTCAAACTCCACGGAAGGGACTATAAAATTGTGAGGCGGCACCCATCCGAAGGTTGTCATTTATCGACTGTTTAGCACTCACAGGTGTCTTGATTGGGGGTATATGCAGACCAGCGTCTATCGCACCAGAATGCTTTTAAATATAGGTGGCTTTGTAGTTCCTCCAGTAATATGTCGCGTAAACCCTATCGCGGCCGTGTTAGTTCATGAAAACGGTTTGAAAAGTTATACCAACAGTCTCTTGAGAAGTTAAATAGCTTCTTAAGTCAGATACCGCTCCAATTTCCAGCATATCAGGCCTGTTGATCATTTTCAGACTTTTGACGAGTAAAATAGCGGCTTGAAGCAGCCTCTTTTCAGATATCAATGACTCCAAAAGATCAGGGACGGCCTTGAGCTTCTCGCTGAAAGGGTAAGATTAGACGAGAATGGGATAGGGCTGATGCTATAGCCTACATCTGATCTAGCAAGCGCATCATCTCCTCAAGGGCCTGACCCCTTGACCACAGCTGCGCGAGATCAGCTCGTTTGCTGCCCAGAGCATCGCGTGACTCGATCAGGTTAGTGCGAGCCTGTGATGTATCTTCTTGCGTTTTTGAAAGAGAAGTGAAAACATTCGCATGGTGGGGCAATGACTGAGCAAACGCCTTGTAGTGCTCTATATCTGGTTAACAGGGTCGTGAGAAAGTATCCGTTGTTATTTACTTACTGTCAATGGACCCCTTCAAAGCGCGCTCGAGAGAGAATTTTGAATCAATGAAAGATTGGAAATCGCGACCTGCGGAGGATGTATCTAAAAGAGAGAGCGCCAATGTGACAGGATTAAACTGAGAAACAATCAGCGTTACGCTGAGACTAAAAGAGGACACATTTTACATCCTCAGAGAGAATATCCTCCCATTCATCTTTGACATCGTTAAGAACAACTACATCCCCAGTCAGAATTGTACCTGCAAGCCGAGCAAAAATATTCATACCATCAATATCTCCTGTTCCTTTCCCCGCCGCTCGTCGGGTTTTCTCCTTAAGCCGGTCTCTCCTTTCCTTATCTATTCTTCTTTCTCGTTCCCTATCACTCGTGAACCCTTCCAATGTGTTTTGCCGTCTTGCGTTTCCCGCTCTCTGAAACGCTTGAATCACCGAAGCCAATGCTCTGGGTGACTGAGACTCCCCAAGTTCCTGGAGACCATTATTGTCCATCCCACCATACGGATCAGATGTGTCCGTCCCTCGACTTCCTACAGTGTCCGAACGGTTCCGCGGAGGGCGTGGCGGCCGCCCGTCTAAGCGCGCCGAAGGGCTGTCCCGCCCTCCATAAGAATACCCATTGGAAATATTGGAGATGGAACCCTCTCCTGAGCGAGGTAGCGGAGCAGATGAGGGGGGTTGCTGAGGCTGCAATCTACTAATCGGAGGTGCTTGCCGTGGCCGTCGATCTGAACGTGCAGGTCGGACAAAGGTCTGTGGTGGCGGTGAAGAAGTAGAGTCTTGGCTCTGGGTGCGACCTCGACTCCTATTTATAGCTAGCGGAGGAGTAACTGGGATAGATTGATGGATAGAATCATTTTCCTGTATGGCTGGTGAACGTGGTCGACGCGACGCTGTCGGAAACTGACTGCGAGACATCAAACCAGCAGAAGTTGTAGCGCCAAAAAAATTTATGCAGTCCTGGCGTGACGGAATCGGTAATTGGTATATGACACGCGAAGAGCTGTGGAATCGTCGTTGCGGGCTGGAATTATGTTAATTTAATCGGAGCCTGCCGTGTTCAGCCGCGTCGTGGAAACCCACCCGCAATCTCAAACCGGGCGCCACAGCTCAAACTCATCGAAGTGACCAAACGACGACGAGCAGTGCGCGCCGTTTGATGACGGCTGTGCTCTCTCCTCTTCTCAAACCAGGTATCCAAATTGTGCTAGACAAAGCGGACATGAATGATGCCCTGTGAGCAATTGTGCGCCTTGACCCTTCATAGGGCCACCGGGAATATCTTGCTAATATGGATTCAATTTTTTCGGCCATATTCTCATTTAGCGCCGACGAAGACTGGAAGACGAAATATGAGGAGGTAATGGAAACCCTTCAGGAGACTGAGCAGGAGTTGCAAGACTTTCAAGTTAGCAGCAGGGAGCTTGAAGAAGAACTTGCCAAAGAACTTGAGCTCGCTGAGAAGGCGAAAGAGGACATGCAACGCAAGTTTGACAAGGCAGAGAACGAAAAGGATGAATGGAAGGTGCGTCCCGATGGCCATGCGCTGCAGCGTCACGCCGGCCGACGTGCATCCTCCTGTAGAGCAAGTTTATGTCCCTACAGTCCACCCACACCACTACCGTCAATTCGCTCCAGCGCGAACTTGAGGCGCTTCGAGAGAGCAACCACCTCGTAAAGATTCAGCTGCGGGAGCTGGAGATGGGCAACGACGATCTAGAGCACCATGAAAGGCAAGCGTGTGTGCACCGCCATCCTTTCCGGGGCCCTGATCTGTCTATTGTTATGCTAGAGCTGTGATTTCTTCGCTCGAGGATCTGGAACAAAAATATTCCAAGCTGTTGGAGGAGAAAATCCTTTTGGAGCACGAGCTTCAAGACAAAGCTGCGTTAGAAGAGGGCATTCAACGTGTGAAGGACGAGCTTAGAGGTTAGTTTTCGATGTCTTTTCCCTCGCTATTCGCATGGCCGACGACGACTCTGAAGACGCACAAACGGAAATTTCGGTACTACAAGAGAAGCTTGAGAAGGCACCACCGATGGAAAGTCCACTATCCGACCGCCTGGGCCCTGATTTCAAATTATCAAACCCACCAATCCCTTCACCTGAGAGTCTTCTCCAGGCTCCTTTGCCCTCTGACGAACTCAGGCTCACTGATTTAGCGAATGCTCAGCCTCCTACACCTCCTGTGGAGTCTGATTTAGAATTAGAGATAATAACTGGACAATCTGCCCTCCTCAGGAAAGCCGGTTTCGTATCTCCACCTCCTGGAAAATCAAAGAATCCTTCTTCCCCTTCTGCTTCCCCCTCACGACTTCCTGGCCCTACCCAGCGACGATCACTCACGACTAGTATTTCTGCACCAAATAATGCGGGTATGACCTCTTCAATAATACGACCAACGACGCAACGCTCGGTGTCAGTCAGCACGACCACCTCCGCCCTAGCAGCTCGCTCACGCGGAATGCAAATGGTCAGCGACATGCGGTCCCGGGTGAAGACCCTTGAACAAAGAATTCAGAACCGTGTGCCACGCCTGAGAAAACTGAGCACACGTGCCTCCCCCCTCCCAGTCTCCAAGGAGCCTCGGTCATCCAGCGAGAAGGAAAAGGATGGAAGTGACCCTGGCTGGGTATTCGTGAAGGATAACCCTCGTGTGGAATCCCGTTCGTCCACTTCGTCCAAAGAGCGCGTGGCAAGCCCTCCGCCTCCGTCAGCATTCAGAGTGGGTGGGTTGGCCGGCTCGGGGCTACGTCCGCCGTCCCGAGCAGGAAACAGACCAAAATCGGTAACGCCAATGACTTCTCAACTTTATGTTGGGGACCCTGGACTTAGCCGCTCGTCTTCCTCGAATCCGAACATTCGACCGAAAAGCAATCTATCACCGTTCCCAACTAATAACAACGACGCAATGATTAGGCCTGTCACTCCCACGATGATTCCAGTCCCGGGCGGTTCTGATGCACTGAAGCGATCCGTGTACGGCCACCGTTCGTCTTTAGGCACTTTGCCCTCGTTACAGCCGCAACCTTCTGGTGCGAACGCCGCCACCATACCGGCAAATACACAATCTACCACTGTTCGGGCGAAGTCCACATCAGGATCGATGCCATCACGTCCACCTTTGCCATCTATGCTTCCTTCGCCACGAAAGAGTCCGCCTACGAGAGCTACGAATACAACAAATGTTACGGCGGGACGTTCATCAATAGAAGACCATCAAGATCCGTTGCAGCGACCCGGATCCCACCTGGGGATGAGTTCCCGGACTGCGCTTTCCAGCAGCAAAATCGGACGACCCTCTTCACTTACGACTAGTGCTACGACCGGGCGGTCATCCTCAGATACGAGACAGAGAAATTACCACCCACAATAAGCGTGTGTGAGAAACGTTTCTTGTTGGACGTTTGTGACTCTCCTCTTCAAGTTTGTGTTGTTGATATGTAACTTTTCGGTTCTTGAGACATTAAGTAAATTTCCACTCATTTTTTTCCCATTGCTGAATAGACTTGAATATTGTAATACAACAAGTGATCGACTAATTTATGTTGAAATTTATGTTGATTGATGGATTTCGTAGTTGAGCTAGGAACCGGATATGTGGCCAAATGAGGAAGTCCCCATTTGTAACCGCGCGCACTCCGATTGCCATGACAGGACAATATCAACCCAGCCTACAAAAAGCCAGGATGAGACGCACCTGTCGGGCAGCCGGCTGTCCCTTGCACTCTTCGGAGGCTGGGCCCATCTCACTTTCCTTTTCTTCCTTTTGCATCGTCCATGCTCGCTCTCAACACCGTCGTCGACGGTGGGAGATTCCACATCCTCGACATCTTAGGAAAGGGTGGCAGCGGTGTCGCTTATCTCGCTTTCGATTTGCATCGCTCAACATCTAATACTGCCAAGTACTACGCCATCAAGTGTCTTCTACGCAAAAGTGACCAGTCGGACCTCCTGCGTGAAGTCCAACTCCACAAATGCGTGTCCAAACATAAAAATATTGTGACATTGCGTCGATGTGTTCCAGAGGGTCAGTTCCAGATCCTTATCATGGACTACTGCGCAGATGGAGATCTTTTTCGGCTCATTATCCAGCAGCGTAAGTATCTATCCTCTAGCTCTGTCAGTGTCCCTAAGACCCGCAATCCCTGATTATTCCCAACCCCCCTCCTTTCACTAGACCGATATTTTGGAAACGACGAACTTATAAAAGATGTATTTCTCCAAATCATCGACGCTGTCGCCTATTGTCATTCCCGAGGCATCTATCATCGCGATCTCAAGCCAGAGAATATCCTCTGTAGCCATGATGGAACCAAAGTGTACCTGACTGATTTTGGCCTCGCAACTCAGGAGCCCATTAGTCATGACGTGGGCATTGGAAGTGGATATTATATGAGTCCCGGTAAGTAAATTTCATTGCTTGCCATAGCAATGAGCTAACGGTTCGGATCAACACCAATAACAACTCATGCTTCCCATCCTGACGGTGTCACCCTTATACCTGGTGTGGCTCGCATCTCTACGGGGCTGCCGGGTTGCACTCTTCTGCTTTCTTCGTCAACAATCAGAATGCAACGCCGGTCCGAAATATGACTCAGCGATGAACGACGTTTGGTCACTGGGAGTAATCCTCATGAATCTTTGTTACGGTCGCAACCCTTGGGCGCGCGCGGATCTCTTAGATGAGACCTTCCGTGCATTTCTCAGTGATCCGAACTACCTCGCGTCTATTCTTCCTATCCCTCCTGCAGTGAACAGCATCCTAAAAGGCCTATTTGCTCTGAATCCAGGATGTCGAATGACTTTAGATCAGCTGCGCACTGCAATCCTGAAAGTGGATCACTTTATCATGAGTCCCGATGAGCTAAGGCTCGCGAAGCCTGAGGCTAGGAGGGTTGCCGCAACGATACAGGAATTAATTTCTGCACGAACGTTGAATCGTCGAGAGACTGCCTCTCGAGATGTAGAAGCTCCCAACACTGCTCCCGTTCAAACATCTCATGCCTCTATTGATGCGGTCGTCACACTTTCGGAAAGCATAGTTACACGGCGTGCTCTCAAACCCGTGGTTCCTATCGTTGTCGCACGCCCATCTACCTCTCCAACATCGCGGGCCACCGATGATTCCTCGTCTTCCCTGAGCTCCAATCCTGAAACCCCCCACCTTCCACTCCAAACTCAAATGTATCGCGTCCCCCTTTTCGCTTGGGTGCACTTTGGACCAAATCGTCGTCTGCCCTCAACCGTATCAAAGTACCTCTGGACTCATCCCGCTTGTCACCCCTCAAAAACAGCGCCAACCTCACCGCATCCGTTCCTCGGCCGAAGGAACAACATCCGCCCTCGTCGCCCTATTCGAGCCAGCACTCCAGGAGCAGAAAAGGCGGTATCGCAGCCCTTACTTTAAATCCCCTCCGATCATCACGCTCACAGCAAACACTTCGGCGGGAGCACACCCCTTGGGTTAGAGAAAGAACTCCTTCTCTTCCTGGAAGTGTGCATACTGGAATATCAATTGATCCGGATACCTTCACATTGATGCCCAATACCCCATCCATTATGTCTTCTGCTGAGCTCGCTACTCGTACTCATGGTCATCCTTTATCTTACCAAAATAACCCCACCGCGGCTGCTACACCCTCCTTTGGCTCCAAAAATAATCTCTGCAGCTACGGCAGTACTATCATCTCGGACGAAGGGCGGCTCATCTCGCCGAGAGTGCGAACAATGGAGCAGGCGAATGGAGCAAGCTTGCACTCGCTGAATGTCTATCTCCATGAACTTGAGCCAAGCGCCGGGTCGTTTGTATTGTATGACAGAGATGGGGAAGCTGTTGAGAGCTTCGAAGCGCTCGAGTCCAGCTCGCCAGGGACCGTAACTTGGAAGACAGCTCGGATTCATGCTGAGCAATTGATCGCTCAGGGGGACACCATGAGGGAGCGGGAGAATGACCCGAAGCCGAGATTGGTGTTTCCGAGCGGAACCGGGGCCGATGGTGGTTATTTATCTGCGAGGAGATTAGTGCCAGCCGCAAGGTTTGCTTGGTTTCATAAGGATCGCCCAGTGGCTTGATATTTTGTTTTGCTTGATGCACACGTACTCGCATCATGATTCGTCCCATCATCGGTAGCCTTTGCAAGCCACACAAAAAGTGCCTGTTTTCGTTTCTTATTTTTTTTATCGGATGCACTTGATTCCTTTCCTTCACATCTTTCCCACATTGTTTTTGGGTATGCGATATTCACCCATCATTCGTTCTTATATGTAATTCAGCGACGAACATGATGATGGTGTATTATTATAGTTGCAGTTGCTCCTTATTTTTTGTTAATATGTACTTGTTTCAGAGTGATAACGCCATGAGTGGAATGTTAACCACGGGCGATTGTCATGTCGGATGGATCCGGCAACTTGGAAAATTCACCGCGCTTCTCCCCTTCACGGTTCGGGTTCGTACTGTCATTGACCATCCTAAGCCTTTGAAATAGTTTGTTGTTGGGTCTTCCACGGTTTGCATCGTCCCGATAGCTTCTGCTGTGCTTCCCCAACGCTGTTGGACTCTTGTGGTTAGTCAAATACATTCGCACCCGTCATATCCCGACTGGAACCTTCAGCAGTCATGTACCGACTCTCAAGCGTAAGCCGCTCCTGCTACCTGTGGCCACCATCAGTGCTCATGCTTACATCCTGGCCCCCTACTCTTGCGTCGATGGCGGCCGATTACCCGGACATTCTTTCCCACCATTCATGTCCCGTTCAAATCCGATGGGGTACTTGTCAATACTCGCGCCATCCTGCATCTACCGATCCTACCATCTCATTTGTGTTACAAACTCTTGAATACCCGAACAATCCTGTCTCCTTATATCTGTTCGCTTCGTCCAACTCCGCAATTTTCCCATTCTTGGTCTTGAGACTTTCCTAGCGCAAGGCAGTTTTTTTTCGAAAGGCTCGCCACTTACCACCATCTCAGCGAGCCTTCTCGCGCGCGATTCGGCTGATGGTGAGTTCACACTCTACGAATCACACAATAGCGTTTGGGTTTTCGTTCTTTTCGGCTTTCGCCTATTCCTGTCCGCCTGATCCCACAAGGCAGACGTTGCATCCATCTGGATAATATGACTTGGATATGCGATCAATCGTTCATTTCGCCAAGGCTCAGCTTTACCCGTGACCCGAAAAGTCTTTGCCATGCGAACGAAGCACTCATTCAGGATTTTGGACACCAGTTTGAACACTGTCATGGGCTCCTCAGATTCGGGGAGTGTGCCAAGAGACATTGGGGGAAACTTCTACTGTTCATGTATTCGAGCTTAATAAAAGGGTGCAGCACCAGATTTCTTGGTCTCCTGGTCACTCCGCATCTTCACATGACCTTCATTACCTCTGCCTTGGGTTTAATCCCATCAAACCCCTGCCATCATTATTACTGAATGTCTGACAAACGTTGATTCTTATTTTTCTTCTTTTTAAGTCGGAATTCCGAATCGAACGTGATACTTTTGGGGAGCTCAATGTTCCTGCCAGACGATATTGGGGCGCCCAAACCCAGCGGTAAGTGGAACATCGTCACCTTCGCAATTGATTGCTAACCGAGGGCTCAAATCAACCAACTCACTGAACCCTTGAAATACGTATTTGATTCTCCCCGCATCACGCAACACCTTATCACTAGCTCGCTGCAGAACTTTGACATCGGTGGAGAGACTGAACGATTACCTCCTCCGCTGATCAAAGCGTTCGGCGTTTTAAAGAAAGCAGCGGCCCGAGTGAACATCACATATGGCCTTGACCCTAGAGTTGGAGCTGCCATTGATCAAGCTGCGGATGATGTGAGTTTGTTTCGCCTTACATGATCTGTTTAGCGTTGAATTATTTGATAGGTTATCTCGGGGAAACTCATAGACGAGTTCCCACTTGTTGTATTCCAGACGGGGAGTGGAACACAGAGTAATATGAACGTAAATGAGGTTATCTCGAACAGAGCTATTGAGATTCTCGGCGGCGAGCTGGGATCCAAAAAACCCGTTCATCCCAATGACCATGTTAATATGAGCCAGAGCAGCAATGATACGTGAGTTCTCTCCGCTGATATTCTTCTCTGGATTATCTCATTTTTCAATATAACATGCAATCAGGTTCCCCACTGCCATGCACGTCGCGGCCGTGACTGAGATTGAAAAAAATCTTATTCCAGCCATTGGTGAACTTCGTGATGCTCTCGATGCCAAATCAAGAGGGTTCGAGCATATCATCAAAATTGGTCGCACTCATTTACAGGACGCGACGCCCTTGACACTCGGTCAAGAGTTCAGCGGATATGTACAGCAGTTATCGAATGGCATCGAGCGTATTCGTGGTACTCTTCCAAGACTCAGGAAGCTTGCACAAGGTGGAACCGCGGTTGGAACGGTAGGTCTCATGCCTAAACCCAAGTACCGCGAGATCGACCCCATATCTATAACGGCAGGGCCTGAATACTAAAGCTGGATTCGATACCAAGGTTGCTGCTGAGATCTCGAGAATTACTGGCCTCCAATTCGAGACGGCTCCGAACAAGGTGAATCTATCCCTTAAGCTGAATGCGTGGACTCTGAGATAACCGTATACATCAAGTTCGAAGCCCTGGCATCTCATGACGCCCTTGTTGAAGCCCATGGGGCTCTCAATGTTGTTGCTGTTTCGCTCATGAAGATTACAAACGATATTCGCTACCTTGGCTCAGGTCCACGCTGCGGTCTCGGCGAATTAGCGCTTCCTGAAAACGAACCCGGCTCGTCCATCATGCCGGGCAAGGTTAACCCTACACAATGCGAGGCTATGACGATGGTTGCGGCTCAGGTCATGGGAAACAACACTACTGTCTCCATTGCTGGTAGTAACGGCCAATTCGAGGTCAGCCCCGCGGCCACAGATAGACTTCGTATGGAAGCACTAATTTCTTTGCAGCTAAACGTTTTTAAACCCGTGATCATCAAGAATGTCCTGCAATCCATCCGCCTGTTGTCTGATGGTACAGTATCGTCCTTCATGTTTCTTGTGACAAATGCTAACGGGCGGATTCCGCTAAGCCTCTCGTTCATTTACGAAGAATTGTGTTGTCGGAATCAAAGCTAACGAGAAGCGAATTAATCAACTATTGAATGAATCGCTCATGCTCGCCACAGTCCTCAACAGCCACCTAGGTTACGACAGTGCGTAACACCGCTCCATATTCCACTCTTGAGGTCGTTAATCGTATCATTTCTCTCGGACAAGATGTTGCCAAGTGTGCAAAGAAAGCCCACAAGGAGGGAACGACACTGAAGGAGGCTACTGTTTCCCTCGGTTTTTTGACACCACAGGAATTTGACGCCAAAGTCCGACCGGAGTTCATGCTGCATCCTGATCCCGCTCCCCAGTGACGGTCCTCATACCAGTGTCGCCTCCATCCCATCGTACTTTGCTTTGCTTCGATTTGGAGGGCTGTATAACCATGGGATTGATATGATCTAATGTAACATATGTACGTCGAAGATTCAATCGTGATCTAGGCCTCTGCCAGGAAGGGACAATCATTCAGGACATTAGCACCGATCCTGCGTAGAACTCGGATAGGCGAGAGTTGCCGAGTTTGAAACAACGCGAAGTAGAAAGATGAACTGACTAAATACAATCATCATCATTGGCTTCCCCCACCTCGATCGGCCACCCGCGTATCTATGTTCTGGGCTTTTCAACTATAATTGCACTGTCAATGCGAATGCCCCATACGACGATCAGGAACACTGATGGTTGTGCGAACGTTCTATGATTTTGATTCCTAGGGGCTCGGCAGTACAACTCGGACAAGTCCATTTCATACCTTCCCAGACGGCGTGGCCGGCCATCATGCGGGAATGGCAAATCCATCCGCACACCAGACTCCAGCTGAGTGCCGCTCACCCACACCAGCCCTCAGATTTTCATGTGCTGCGATTCCGACACAGTGTTGCAGCAAATGGATTCGAAGATCACGATAGTGTGCCTCATGGCCAGAATCCTAATAGTAAACCATCACAACTTACCGGCCGCATCTACTTATGTTTCCTTAGTGACCATTCACCGAGGCTCCCAATCACATATTCGGTTCGGGGAAAATCCGCGGTATATGATGGGTGAAATGTGTTGCATAAATAAACCCAACAAATAGATGGGTTGGAATGATGAATAAACCCTAGAATTTGGGGGTGGCGGCCCAGCGCAAATTCCATTGAACGGCCAACAACTAATGGGAGTCGATGACAGCTTGCGAAGTCATTGTATCATTACAGTGACCTGGTAACGTTGATAGGACAGTTTGAGCGCGCCAATGGCGTACCATTGCCCTGCCGCGGCGGCCACGGTGACACGGCGGCTGTTAGCCTAGTGGTCGCGAACATTACAAGTCATTGTGGTCCACACTACAGGCCGTACGGCCGTTGTCGACTCTGAGGGTCTGAGGGGTGAGACGTTAGATTTTTACCAAGAACACCGGACAGCCTCAAATTTACATAACTCAAGCAAATAACTGGGCGGAGAGTAGACCGCACAACTCCATTGCCGGGCGAACCAGCCCAGCCATTCGAATGCCTCGAGATTATATATGCCGTTTCATGGTCAAGGAGCGCATCACTTCGTGGACACCGCCTCGATGCCATCACCAGACCATTTATTGTGACGGCGACATAATCCGATCGGCGATGAAGTGTTGGCTCCCGCTGCAGTAGTCTAGGCGAATAACAGCGGATTTATACCAGGTTACTTTTGTTATGAGGGTTTCCCTCAAACAAACGTGAGACGTCCATTTCTCACGGGTGGCAAGTGAATAAATTGGACTTTGGGTCGACCTTCACCACAGTGCAGTGGGTTTCTGTCACCACGTTTTCTCGAAGTAACCCAAGGGGCCTTTCAAGGCAACGATCCCAATGTTTACTTGTGAAGGGGTATTAATTCCTAATTAATTCTGTCGTGGTTGCTCCATATGCCACAAAAGACTTTGATTCTTCGTTGGCGATGAACTAGCATGCCAATGCTGATCGCGTCGACTTTAAATAGTGGATGTGAGAACGAAAAATGCCTCAGTTTCCTCCGCTTCCGAGATGAGTGCGGCCTAAACAACTGTGCAACAGCCTACATATTACGCCACCTGCATATTCCTAGCTCCTAGGAGAGCACATATAGATGGGCAGAAAACGCTCGCGAATCAGCTTCACTGGTGGCTGCATCACACCTTTCTCGGACAAAAATCCCTGGGCTCGAGAATTGATGTGAACATGATTAATTTATGATTTATGATCAAAGGCTCGCAGCAGCAGCGTGTACTGCCTCCAGCTGAATGATTATGCGATTATATGTTACCGAACCGTGATCCGCCCTTTCGCAAGCAACCTCCCCACAAACCCATTGTGGGCACCGCTTCTCGGCACACCAGAGGAACCTTCACGAGCCCAAGGCCGAGGCCAAGTACCTGCAAGCGTACCGCCCTCTTTGTCCTTGGTGATACTTGAATTCGTAGAGCTGACGTCTCGGTAGTAACTGTTGCCGAGGTTGTCCAGATATTTGAAGGATTCGGTTGTGGTGCCGTTGGCGATAACTACGTCGTTGGTTTTGAGCCATGTGCCGGCTGAAAAAAAGGGTAGAAGTAGCAGGTAAGTCCAGTGCGTGCGTCATACGAACGGGCACTGAGGGAACAACGCACATCCGTATTGACGTGTGGTGATCTGGCTCCCATCGATGAAGGGGCTAGGAAGCTCGTTACGATCATACGAGTGATCCACGCTAGCATACCCTAGAAAAGCCAACCGCGTCTTAATGGTGAACGAACTAAGGGGCGATGATATGACAGTAACCTACATCCGGTGGTATTTCCGAAGCTAATATCGTAATAGATAACATCAAGAGGATAAGCGAACTTGTCCAACACGGCTGGAACGCCATTGTGCATCGAGAGTGAATGACCGAAAGCGGTTTGATGAAGGATCTAATCGAAAAGGGGCATCAGAACTACATGCTCCCTCGTATAATTTGGACCTACCTGGTAACTGCCATTCTGAGTGAACGATTGGAAATTTTTGTATGACAAGTCTTGAGACCACTTCACAAGTGTTGTCTTTCCGCTTCCGGTCGTAATTTCACTTACAATATTGAGTTTATGGATAGCGGTGACAGTTATATTCACATCGTTATAGCCATTTTGCGGTGTGACGGTTCCAGAGGTATCAGTAGACGCGTAAAATGGAGCGGAATAATGTAGAATTTTCCCCTTAGTGGGCTTTAACGTAGAGTCTTGGATGATTTGGATGTTGCCTGAGATGAGTGCATCATTGAGGGATGAATAACATTTGGGGACTAGACAATTGGTTCACAAAAGAACGTACCAGATAAATACCAGTTACCAAGGATGTTGTGTTTCGTTTCGGCAGAAGCAACGTCGAGAGTGATGATGTGTTCCTTTCCGTCCGCAATTACGGGGATAAACGGAGTCAGGTCTACCTTGTATGTCGGCTGATCAAGCGATCCATACGCAGAGATGGGTCTGGGTTCATAGCATGACACAAATGCTCAGACACGCGGACAACTCTGCGACGCAAACAGGCGCACATACCTCCACAAACTAGGTAGGATTCCGCCTGTGAAGATGACAGGATACGGGAATGCCACCCCTGCTAACTGCCCATCAACGAGAACCCTGACTTCCCGGAAGGGTCCAGTTTGATACGTAGTGTTGGGAGGAATGTACCCGAAGTATTCATCAGCAGCATTCAAGTACTTTTGAGATTGCGGATCAGAGTGATGCATGACGGATCGAATAAGGATGCTATGGTTTACCCAGAACTCTTCTTGTGCATTTCCCGAGGCGTAGATTTCAGCATAGGCTTCAGCGATATTCGTAGGGAAAAAGACGGTCATCTGGCCGAAACCATATTAGGTCGAGAATGAACACGCATAATACCCCTCTTCTCACGTTATAAGATGGAGGGACTGAGAAGTAGTTTGGTTGGTCGGGTGACAAGTTTGACAATGGGATGATAAGGTCCGACGACCTCGCCGCAGGGTAGGAATGAGTGGCCTCGTGGAACGTTGCACTGAGAGTGACTGGGAGAAAAAAAAAAAAAGTATTGAACAGGGGCCGGTGACCCTGAAAATCGTGTGCTCAAACCGTCATATTCGCCAGTGAGTCTTAGCTTTGGATCAATAATGTTATTAAGGTCTAGAATCATGCGTCCAGGTTGGGCAAAGAGAGGCATATAGCGAGAAACGTCTTTAAGAACGGTCCAAATAATACCAGTCTTCGTCGGCTCAGCAGTAGACGTGCGCCAGACTGTGCACACGATATTAGAGGATTGAGAGGAAAGTCGCGCGCGTTCTCACTTTCCACTTGGCTGAATGTGACGGCAGCCAGTCTATCATATTGGGTCTGGATCAAGTTGAGCAAGAAATCCGAAACCTGAGCTTGTTGAACGTACACCATTCGATGTTCCAGTCAAGTTCATTGAGATACCAGCCCATTTCCCTACTGGACCGCAATTGGATGGAGGCTAGAAAAGGGGGGTTTGTCGAATGTCAATACGAGCGAATCAGGGACACGGGAGGAGACTGACGATGTAGTCAATTATGGCAGCTGGGAGGCAAGAGCAAAGAAACGCGAGGAGAACGCATCAGGTCATGGTGGTGCCATTGGGGAGTGATTAGTTGACTTGCGTTGGTAATACGAGTTCCCGAACAGGTGATGTGTGAGAACAACAGTACATTTCACATCATACGGCAACGCAGGAGGTTGTTGAACTTGGAAATTCACCAATGGTGGAACAGACGCATTAGCCGCCCTCGCCAGGATGCCTTCGCCGGACCCATGAAGGGGGAATGAACCAAAACGCAGGACGTTGTGAAATATGGGTTTGAAGACCATTTGAAAACGCGCTTCGAGGGCAGAAAGTAAAACCAAGGGAGGGAAAAATTGCGGTGGGCGTATTTTATACGACTGGCGCCAATATCGATTGCCTGTGATGAGAAAGAAGCAAGACAAATTATTGAGACCGCGGGGTACTGGTGAAAGCACGCGTTTCTGAAAAAGATTGGGCACAAACCACAATGATGACGTGAAATAGGATCGAGTAATCACAACTCCCTAGTCGTCAGTGAACGTTGGTATTAGAAAGACCGAGCTGCAGGATGCAGAACAGCGGTAGATATAATAATAAAATGAGTGTACACGTTCAGGGCGGCCCATGTGGTTCAGTTGGAAGAACGTCCGAGCTTTCAAGTTTCTCACGGTTGACAACCATGCAGGGCAAGAGTTGTTATGACTTTACTGTCGCCTTCAAACGGATTTATTGCTCGAGTCAGCTGGGCAGTTAAGCCTCCATTGGAGGGTTCAACCTTACGTGCTCCGAGCAGGGTCCCGGGTTTCTATATTCTTTACAATTCACCAGATGTAGTTCCTGCTGTATTCATCGAGAGAAGCTTCGGCATGGAACTGCAATATTGCAATCAAACAGGTACTGTCATGGCTGATTATGAGACCTTCCGAAACCATCTTCAGTACTATGGATGGGCCTGGCTGGTTCAGTGCTGACAGAAAGAGGGAATTGAATACATATTCAAGCATAGAAATCCGGACCCGATCAATACAATGCGTGTCAAAGGGAGGTATATTACAACTTATGTAATTATTCTAAGGACGCTATCTGGGAAATCCGCTAGTGGTCGCCAACAAGTCCAAAATTTACTACGTGGACAAGTTTTCATTGTGCAATAATGAAGAATATCTGCTGATTATGGGTGGCGTTCTGAAAGATCATACGTCACCGACCGAGTCAAAAATTTACTCATGAAGTTCTCACGGCTCGGACCGTTCCTTTGCAAAACTCCGAATCTCACATGAGCATCTTTAGAGTGGTAGCTCGCGCAGGGGCAGCAAGGCGAGTGCCCCTGGTTCGCAAAACGCCTCTAACGTCTTTTCGCCCTTCCGTCTCATGGAGATGGTACTCCACTGAGGAGAGACCCATAAATTCAGAAAACAACCAGGCTCCACCAGTGGGAGAGGCTTCGCAGCAGCAAGAATCTCCAGAATCACTCTCCGAGACTGAGGAACAAAAATTAGTAAAAGGAAAAGACTCTGAAATATTAGACCTGACGGTGCGTCTCCGTCCTGCTTGTGCGTTGCACATTGCTCATCATGAATACCAGAGCCGTCTTCGTTATATGGCCGCAGACTTCCAAAACCTCCAGCACAGATCAGAGCGCGAAAAGGCTCAAGCAAAAGAATTCGCCATCACCCGATTCGCCAAAGATCTCCTCGACACCCTTGATGTCCTTTCCCTCGCTCTCAAATCAGTTCCTCCCGAATCTCGTCATAACTCTGAAGAAAACCCACGGCTGGTTGAACTATATAAAGGCGTAGAACTCACAGAAAAACAACTTCTTCACACGCTAGCACAGCATGGCGTAAAACCGTACAACCCGCTAGGCGAGCCTTTCGACGCCAATAGGCACGAAGCATTGTACAGTGCCCCTGCCCCAGAAGGAAAAGCAGCAGGCGTCGTTATTGATGTTCAGAAAATTGGGTATACTATCGGTGTTCGAACATTACGGGCTCCTCAAGTTGGGGTTTCATCTGACTCATCGCCACATGCTAGCTAATACTTGTGAACATTTACATATGTGGTGGCAATATTATATTACACTGTAGTTGATTCCTCTCAACATCGATCATACTTTGCATCTACATTTTGCTCAATGACATTAGCATTTTTTTGTGTATCATCGGAGTTCAACCTGGAAACGCTCGACAAGAGCATTGGAGACCTGAGCCTGGATTTTGTTCACTTCCTCGTTTGAAAGTGATCTAAAGCCGAGTTTAGCCTAGGACCAGGGGGGGGGTTGCTGGGCTTACCTATCCATGGATCGGTAGTTGATCCGAAAACAAACGCTCGTCTGTTCAGTTTTTGGGTGGACAAACTCGTCAATCTAGTCGGCCCTCTAAGCGAAGTGTAATGGAGGGCTCGAGTGACAACTTACTTTCTTTACGTCTTCTACTAAATTTCTAGCCACATCCCGCACAACGTCACAAAAGTCGTTATCATGCACGATTTTATGCTTTGGTACCCAAAAACTAACGTCCTTGTAACAGGGCGGATACTTGGAGTATGGCTTGAAGGTTGTAATTTCCCCTGGTGTGAACTGACTAAGAAAGCGCGGATCGTTCGACCAGAATAAGCGTATATCAGGAATGGAGAAGAGAACCATTGCAAGTCGTTCAAGACCGAGTCCGAAAGCCCACCCGATACGGTCAGGTAACCCTAGAAACTGTTTGGACGTATCAAATGTAAAGCCCCTGGGAATACATACCCGAAAAGTCTAATGTGCGCTGCTTCATAACGCCACACCCTAGGATCTCCAGCCATTTTCCCTGAAAGAAGGCCTCGACTTCGTAACTGGGACTCGTGAAAGGGAAATATGCCTCAATCCATCTCACTCTTAGAGGCTCTGAGTTCCCGTCTCGCCTGGTAGAGAACAAATTATAGATCATTCTATTGAGAGAGTGTTTCATATTCCCGACGACGAGCTCCGCATGTTTTGGCTGGTGGCCTTCTTGATATGGGTTGGTGGGACCAACCTTGGTGTTGTCCACGATGATGATGTTAGACGAGGCCAGCTGTTTCCCGAGCCTTTCGTTCTCCTCCTGTAAAGCATCCATCGATGCTTCATCCGTCGCGAAGTGTTGAGCGCCGTCCATTTGATGGAAAACAGGGCTGTGACTGGAGTCGATCTCGTCCCGCCGATAAACATCAGCTGTGAGAAGCCACATATCGTGGCCTTGCTTAAATATTTCAATCTCGTGAGCAGAGGCGTGCGTTCGTAGCACGGTTTCCTTATTGATATAATAAGTATCTGTGACACTGCGTCCAGGGTGGTCTGGCGGAAAGCCGAGCTCATCGAAATTTTGGTGCGTGGAAACGACGGGAGATGGTACATTCAAGCAAGAGAAGCCGGAGAAACTGGATTCAATGAGCGAACGCATTATTCCTAATGGGTGATGTGGTTTGAGGTACAGTTGCATGGGGATTTTTTCAACAATTGCGGGAGTAACATTGGTCCAGCTATCCACAGGATATTCTTGCCCCCCTATTGTCACGGAAGTGTTGGCTATATCATTCCAAAGTCAGGCATTTGCAGCAAGACTCTGAAAGTTAGAACTCACGTTGCCCTGCGATGCAAGCGCTCGGCGTCAGAATACGTTTGTCACCATCTGATAATTTGATCACCTACCCCTTTTCAACGTGGATAATGATGGAGCAGTACTGGAATGACGCAAGAACGCACCACAGCGAGTCGCTCGCCATGAATGGCGAACCGTCCATCGAACCAAGACTGAACAATTCATTTGGCCCCAAAGGTTTCTCAACTTCACGGCGACAACATTCGTCAACAAGTTTCGTTCTGGTCAATGAAGGTTTGCTGTGGTTCCACACTGACATGTGCGCTGCTTATAGCTGCCTCTATCCCACCAGGGGACAAAAAGGCACAGAACTACAAGGATTGCATCATCGGATGAAGCTGGCAACATGCCTGAGCTCGAACAACCCGGACCCTCTGCGAAGCGGCCCAGAGTCAACCTAAAAGTTACGGAGGAGGAAGAGGAAGGCTCTTCTTTATCTGAAGTTGACATTGTAGCTGATGATCATCACATCTCTAAACCCTTATCCTCATCAAAATCTCTGCCACCTAACCCAATCTCATCCTCACGGAGGTCTTCTGCTCCAATTCGATCAGCAAGTGGCTCTGCGATTCGAATATCTATTAAACGCACGGAAGGGCCCCCCAGTCCCGCTGAGCATGCTTCCTCAGAAGAGGAAGCTGAGTTTAGTGACGATGATGAACCACCCAAAAAGGCTCGTAGAGCGTATTCCTCCTCCAAACCATCGACTTCAAAATCAATGCACAAACAACCCGCGAAACCGAAGCTCCGCCGATCGACGAAGCGCAAAGTGGAATCGGAAGACGATAATTTTGACGCAAATGACCCTGCCGGGTCAGACGATAACTTCCTTGATGACGATGATAATATCAAGTCCAAAGGAAAGAGTCGAGTTCAAAGGCTACCAAAGCGAAGGCCCAAGATAGACCCATAACGGCAAGAGACGAGGGCGCCAAGCCTCCAATCACTCTGGCATCCACCTCTCACACTGCGACGACAGCAAAACGGCCCATGGGGGATGCTGATCCTGAGAAAGATAAACCATCGTTCAATTTGACTACTTCTGAGCCTCCTCAAAAGAAACTCAAACTCCCAACTATAAAAAGAAGCCTCAGGTGATGCCGGCGCCGGCATCTACAGCTGGTACTCCAAATTCTCGGGCAGCGGCGGGTTCCGCTGTGTCTGTGGTTCCAAGGGGCGGGACGAAGCCAAAGGCCTCAGAGGTCGACCTAAGTAATCCTGATGAGTATGCCAAGCTATTTGGCATCACAACTTCCTCTGTGAGCGGATATGCACCGCTTTGCAATCTTCGTCGCTCAGTATTTTTACGCAGGCTTCCAAGAAATCGACGCCTTCTTCCCAGGCTACTCCAACAAAGTGAGTTGCTTCTTCTCAAATGGACCTTACTGATCATGAGCTATATGTAACAGTTACAAGGCTTCTGAGCAGCGAGCAATAGAAATCCAACATGCTCGAGAACAGGCACGTATTGATCGCGAGAAGGATTGGGATTCGGTACGTGCACAAGCTCATATTTTTAATCCCGGCACCAGAAGCTGAATATCCTTGTCCTATTAATCAGAGCAATACTTTCGACATGCAATATGCCGCAGAGTGTATCCGGGCTTATGAAGTGGGTTTTCCATTGCTTTCTCTTCGCAATCTTTTTAAGATGAATATGCTTGGAATTGAACAGGAGAAAATATGGAAAGAACGCCGTTATATGTATATGACGCAGGTCGCCGCCGCATGGGCGATGAAGCCCGAGAGGCCTGGACCAGAAGTAGTACCACATCGGCCTGATCCTTCACTGGCTGCAAAGTATTCCACGGCAGGTAAAAGTCTGGCCAAAGGTGCTGCCAAGGTTGGAACCAGTGCAGGGCGGCAATTACGCTGAAATATTTGGCCCAGACGAACACTTGCACTCTTGCTTCTGTCAGCGTGTGCACCCTAACGCCGTCGTGGATGGTGTCTGCGCGCTTGACTCTGAAAGGTTTTCTATAGGTCCACTTTGTTCGCCTCCCGGAGATTCCACTCCTAACCAATCGAGTTCGTTGATCACACCAATCCCCTCCTAACTCTACGAATGGGGTTTTACCTGGCCTCCTAATTAGACCAGGAATTTTGGGATGACATGGTCAACTGGGTCCTCTGTAGCATATGTACTCTCGAGACTGCTTTGCTGTCGGCTGAAGCTGTGTGGGTGGGTGGAACTCGATTCCGGGGTGTTGCAGAAGACGGCGAAGAAGTGACAGAAGATGCACGACTAACGAACGGTTGCACTGCTTAGTGTCGTTGCAATGCAAAGCCCATAGTTAGGCGTTGTACTCTGCCTTCGCATCCTCTAGCCTTACCGTCACCGTTCTTTTCCAAAACACTTGCACTGCAGCGTGCTCACCGTCCTCCATAACCGCATCTTACTTCATGTCGTCCGTTTCAAACACCCTCGTAACACTCCAGAAAGTATTGTCATCTACAGCTATTTCATGTCGGGTTCCCCCGAGGCGTAAGTGGCCCGACAACGCCGCGTTACTTCGAAGAGCTTATTTTGCAATTCCACCGCCGCTGCCATTGTCATACATCATCATTGCAGCTTCGCCGTTCTCACTCACTGTAAGATTGCTGCGTTGTCCTTCCACTATAATCATACTTGTTCATGTTTTAGGCCCCTCATTGCCATTTCTTTCGCTATTTCTTTCACCATCCCACACTGCCCATCTTGGACCGTTGGTCTCCTTTCCGCCCTGTGCATTGTTTTATGTCCTTTTCTATAATTACTACTTTGCAGGTCTCTTCGCCCAGTCGTTCCCGATTAGTAATCATTAGGTACAGGGCAAGATGAATTCAACAATAGACTGCACAAACAAACTTTGTGAGGAACTGCAGTTCGGGAAGCTTCCAGGAGAGCCCTTGAGACGCAACCCTCGGTGAATTAGGGAAGTTTGTCCTGGGCAGGAGTGCGATGGGTGATATATTCCCTCTCAGCTGACCGATTTGTTACTGGGTGTCCGGAAAATCCTGTTCCGAGCGTTAGACGGGTATCTCGAGGAATATGGCAGCGACATAGGGGAAACGGGTCTAATTAGACACTCTCTATATGAACAACATCCAGCGACATGAATCACCCCGAAATCAGCTTGTGGAAATTCATAGTCACTGAACATTCACGGATAAGAGGCCCCCGCTGATTCTGGGCTCCATTATGATGACACCTGGTACTTGTTGTACAAGCGGGTCAAAGAAAACCATTGTAGCATCTGAACGAGGTGCAGTGCAGTATCACAGCTTCTTTAGCCACGGCGTCCTTCCCGCTGGGAGTGGCGCCCCGAAGGGCGATGGCGGACGCTATGCCAAAAAAGGGGCGAGGAGAAACAGCCAAAAATAAAGCGGGACATAGTGAATGATGACGTGCGCGGAGAGCACTTGTCTCGGATCAAGACCAGCAGCTTGGAGAGATCGCAAGGGAAGACCGCCGATGCGAGCCTGAATTCCAAATTTCGTTCGCCAGTGTTGGTCAAGCATCACTTCTTAAGGTGCAGTGAGGAGACCAAGCTGGTCCCCGAGTCCCGATATTTCGCCATTAATATACTACATAGGCTCGCCCAGATTTTCCCGATAACATGGCTCGATTCTTCAGACTGTGCATATCTTGGCGGCGGTTCAGGTGTTTCCGCCATGGCCGAGACAAACAACTCCAACTTATTATCTGAGGTCACTACAGCCGTGTCATTGAGTATGTGGAGCGCCAACGCAATGGGTGTGTAGCATAACGGATATAGTGGCGCAGTATGAGGACGTGAACCATAAGAGTTCCACCAAAGTGAGCTGGACTTCCGATCTTCTGCAAGGGCTCTCCTGGCCTTGCGCCTGACCCAAGCCAGCCGTTACGATTGACCAGATTCGGAAAGAAGGGTTTCGCAGTGAGCGAGCCCTATCACGAAGTGACAGGATGAGCTAGCGGTCGACGAGGAATGCATTGCGAAGAAAGAAGCCAGGAGAGATAATCAAGTTAGCGAGATAGTTGAATGACGCCATTTCGTGTGGCAAAGGAATGAATATGGGTTTTTCCTGCATATGGCTGCAATAGATAGGATCCGAGTCTCTGGCGTCGCTGCCCGGAATTGGGCGGCCCAAGACCTGGCATATGAAGAGCTGAGAGGCCTGTGTTGGTGTGAGACGTCTCCGCTAATGTGGAAGGTAGTTGAACCATCTTGTCAAAGCGCTGTCCATCAATATACTCGAACCGGTGGGAAGCTGCGACGGAGTACGTGCTAGCGCTGAGACCCGAATGCTAAGAGAACTCAATTCCCGACTCGCCAGCGTGCAGTATTGTGCGGCATCGCAAGGCGCTGGTTCAGGTGCGTAATCTGGCTGCGTGGGTGTATGAACATGAGGACGTCGATCAGAGAGAGTACCGAATGGTGCAAATGATCCCGAGCTCAGTTTGAATGAACACAAGAACTGCGGCTTAGCACAAGCCGTTTTTGGTTTCCATGCCAGAATCTCGGGAGGCCAATGCAAGGGCCCAATCCGGGAGTCGGGGGTCAAATACGTATGTATTATCCGTACTTGTTTCTAGCGGTACGTTTACTCCGCATCGTTACTATACTATTGCAGTGGCGCTTATAGACCAGCGTTTCCCAATTCGATCCACCCAATATATTTGGGCCCCATCCCCTCGGGCCTCAGGGGTTTCCGTCTTTTGCAGTATCTCCCGTATAATCCTGATACAACATCGAGACGCATCGAGACTAAAGCATAAGGTGTATATAGTAATCGAATGTAGATCAAGTACAAAAATCGCATCTCCCAATGAAATATTTTGGCGTGCTCATGCAGTTTTGGCCCAGTTTACACGCAAAGCCATGAGCGAAGTGATAGTACTTGAGGGAAGCGTTTCAGTGGGGAAGCGTATTTTAGAACACGAAACAGGACATACCCAATTAGGCCAAGAGTCCCTTCATTGAGCTTCGCGAGTTCCAGGCTGGTGACAGGGAGCCAAATGTCCAAACTATCCTGAACCAGCTGGTAGCGTGCGGAGGCGCGAGCGCTGCGATTCAAGTTTATCAGGATGATAACGACCTCCCACCAGAAGATACGTACGCTTGTAGGGCTCTGATTTGTACCTTGCGTTCCGCGTCGTCCGCTCCCTTCGCGCTCGAATGTGGCGACTGATCGAGAGACTGAATTTCGCTTGCTAAGCGGCCGGTCTTAGCGAGACCACACAGGATGCTGAATAGGATGCCAGAGAGCCAGAAACGTTGGGAGGTTTTATTGACTTTCTTGGCAGTCTCCGGATCTAGCCTGAGGAATTTGATGGAGTTGGCCTGTGCAGTTTGGGTGTCAACCAACGGCTCCTTGGCCAATGTTCCTTTAACGCTAGAATGAGCCCACTGCTTACCCAGACAACCATGTCAAGAGATAAGTAGCCGAAGTACCCAAGTTGCCTGCCGATCGTCGTGAATTGTTCAATGGGGTATGGAACCGACGAGACAGCTTTCAATGCGGCTTGGGCATGCTCTATAGGCTTGAATAGACGCATCACTGGAAGATAAGACAGGAATGAGTGAGAGTTCGTTCACAACGAACGATGCTATGACATACATTTACGGCCGCTACCTAGGGCGGACTTTAGTGCAGTGAGGCGTGCCGCCAGGTCCTTGTTATCCCGCTGCAATAGGTACCACGCAAGGAAGCGAGAGAAGTACTGGATGGTCCTGTATGTCTAACAGAGCCGTTTCAGCTTTCAGTCCCATCGAATGTCGTGTGTCGTTGACTGGCCAACCTTGTCCCGGCCAACAGTGGTGGACCAGAGCTTCAAGCTTCGGTTAACATTAGGGTGGAATACTATCTGAGTGGCTAAATCGGACATTGCAGTTGAACTTTTTGAGGGGGTAACAGGAAGCTGACTCTGGAAAACGTGAGGATGAGCTTTAAGGTTCCGGCTTCGGGAAATATATCGTGGGACTAAAGCGGTGCAATTTCACGTGAACGAAGTCTCTGATGAACTCTTTTCTCACGCAACCTTTCTGAATAACCGTTTTCAACCCTCGATCCCCACGTACACGCACGTTCTATTACCATGTCATAGAAGCTAGAGTCCTCACGGAAATGACTGAAGATTTAGGGGGGGGAGGGGGGGGAGGGGGGCTCATAAAGCGGATATGTGATCGCTCATTTACTTATTCACCAGTTTGCTTTCCCCTCGGCGAACAGTAATTTTTCCCAAACTCGTCTCGCGTGCACCCATATTTACAAAAAATATACTCCTTTCGGTTTTGGCGACTACCTGATCTCGGCCACAGCAAGTGCTAGGTGCCGAAGTAGTATTTCTCAGACCGTCAGCCCCGTCGAGGACGGCGCGAGTGGATGCGTACATACGCATAGAGCCGCCTCTCTAACCATCGTAAATGTCTATTTCATTTCTGGTAAACCAGATAAATAGATCGACGCAACACGACATCATGTTAGAATGCCCGTTTGCGCCATTTCTCCTGGAGTCTAATCACTCTCCTTCCCGGCAAGTTCGCTACGAGTTCATGAGGGAACCCAAGTCCCATGGATATGTGATCGACGCGATCCATGCACGCATTACGGCACTTGTATATTTCTTCTCCCTATCCAACACCGGTCTTTGGCGCCGAGGTTTTTCCAGGTGGTTATCATGGAATCACATTTTAACCGAGAGATTGAGCTGTTTTTCGATTTGGGCAAAGCAAAGTGTAAGCATCGCGTGTTGTTATCGTCGGTTCTACGAATTGCAGTGTTGGTCGAGGAATTATTAGAGATGTCGGACGTCGAAGAAGGATGTTGTTGTTATTGCTGCCGCTGCTGCTGCTGCTGTAAGTCTGACCCATCGGTAAGTTTCTTTGCTATCCCTCGATAGTGGTCGTTTCCGGTAGAACGAGTGAGTTTAATGCTGATAGTGTGGTGGCAAATTCCTGGATGGGTGGAGTAGCGATTTGATTGTCATCACTGCAGTATTAACTGATTTCCCTTAGTCCGGTGTTGGGGGTTGAGGGGTGGAGGGAGGAATTAGGTCGTCTATTGTAGATGCAAGGGTGTTTGAATGAGACTGGAACGTATCGAGGGTGTGGGTTGCTTCTGTTGGGGATCGAGGTAGGAAGGGTTGTTTTGAAAGACGGTGGTGGAGAGCGTTAAGTTCACCGGCATACGTAATGGCACAGGCAAAAACACAGTGTATCCCGCGTCAGCCGCAGGGCGCCAGGGACAAAAAGTTATGATTTTGGAATCGAGATGAGATTACTTAATGTGGAAAATTAAGGCACTGACAGGGCCGGTACCTTTTTAGCCCGGTCTCATTCTTCGGGGGCGAGTCTCCGCCCGGTCTTACCGATCCTCGTCCTCGCTCTCCCCACCATCTGGGGACGACTACCTGGCCAACTCCTCACATCCCCCCAACGCATCTTGAATGGAATCAGAATGTGTATCCCAAACTTTAAGGATTGCTTGAGCATTGAGTCCCTTATTGGTGGATTCTATCGAGGCATGGATGGGGCCCGGGCTACTGAAGGCGGTTTCATTGTTACGGAGGGGCTCATTGAATGTGTGTAGATGAGGGAGAGGATCGAGGTGTAGTCTGACAGTATGGATTGAAGGGCGGTCATTGCGCCTATAGCTGTGAGTGTGTGTAAGATGTGGTTTAATGTGATGAGTAAGTCGGGTGGGATGGGGGTGAGCTCGGATGGCATGTTGCGTGTTGTGATCTGCCAGGGAGTGACTATTCGTGGTGACTAGCATCAGTTCCGGTGTGATAGGACACGCTTTACTGAATTGATGGCTAGTTGGATGTGGAGGAAGTCATCAATCGGGTGATAATCAGCGAAAACCCTTATCACGCGTGTAGGCAGAACGGAGTTCGAGAGCGCCGCAATGTTCTAGTCCGGAGTATATGAAATGACCATAATAGGATGCAAAGTGACAGCGAAGCTGAGTAAGCACGGTTCATTCCACTCAATGAAGCCCCACGGAGATACGCCTCCGGAATAAATAAACCATAATAGCAACTCCGTAAAATACATTCCTTTGTCCTTCGTCAGGTCACAAGCATCTACTACAAAGTTATCATATATAGCACTTGGTACACTCCACATCCATCTCTCTCTCTTTGCTCTCTTATCTCTTCTTAATACTACCACCTCAACACAATAACAACAACAACGCCAGGAACCCACTGACCACCACAATAAGCTAACTACAACTAATCAACAATTCCATGCTCCGCCGCTCGATCAAAAAGTCCACCTCTTCAATGCACTCGGCTTCTGACAAGTCTGGCGTATCAGATCATCTCACTATAGATGGGGAGTTCCCTCTTGCCATACTCAAGGTTCAAATATTAGGTTGTACAAACTTACCCGCTGCCGATCTTAACGGCAAGAGTGACCCGTACGTACCTACTTCTCTCTCTCTACCTTCATTCTCACCTCATTTCTGCCCTTTGCTTTCATTGATTGCATGATACTTTACCATCCGGCGCTCACAGATACGTATCGCTCGAGTTTGGCGGGAGGAAAGTCAAGACCACCGTCATTAAGAACCAGCTCAATCCACGATGGCCCGCTAAAGATGCAACGTTCGAGTTTCCTATTTACTCGAGCGCTATCAAGAGAACAGGCGCTTTTTTCAACATGGTCGTTTGGGATAAGGATATGATTGGAAAAGGTGGGTGACGCGCTGCCTCTTTCGTTATTGTTATTGCCGTAGTGTTGATTGGGGGACCTAATTGCTAACGTGTGACAATTTGGGTCGTGTTATAGATTACCTCGGAGAGTTGTCACTTCAGCCTACCCAGTGGTTCAAGCCGAAGGGCGATAATGGTACGACGACCGTTCTTTCCTTCTCCGATCCTTCAAACTACGTAAGTTTATTTTCGTTCTCCCATCTATTATCTCCAAATCCCTCACGCGATCCTTCCTCCGCTCCTCGTCTCATATCTTCCCGTTTGCGCGCGCACACATGACTGACGAATGATATTCCCTCCGAAACAAAACAGCCGCTTAATTTTCCGCTTGCAAACGTCAGATCTCGCAAACCCCGTCCTAATGACCCGAAACCAGACGGTCCACCCTCCATTCAAGTAAAACTGGGTCTTCTTCTCCCTTCTCATGCTTCACCCTCTGCCGCTTCCGCAGGCACTCCTACCACCACCGCCACCACCGCCACCACCACCACAACGACAACAGATCTTACCACAGCTTTCGAGTCCATCCTCACCCAAATCCAGAGCGATGCTCAATCAGAAAATGAACACATTTTCGCCAGACCGCCTACGCAAGGCTTTGGAACGATCCGTTCGTTGACAAAGAGACTTTCTAGACACGGAAGTGGGAATTGGAGCGCAGGCGGAGGAGCGACGACGTCCGATTCTGCACTTTCGGATGCAAGTCCTCAGTCAAGTCCTATCAGTCGTCGTGTGAGGAACGTGTCGAGTTTTGGAAGACCTAAGAGCTCTAGTGGGAGTTTGAACAGCGGTAGTAAGACTTTGGTGGCTGGTGCGGCGGTGAAGAAGAAGAAGAAGAGACAGGAGTTTAGGATTAATTGGGGAGGGACGATGATCGATTATGATTTCTCGAGTAAGAAGGCTGTTGTGGGGATTTTGATGTTGGAGGTTAAGAAGGCGGTTGATTTGCCAAAGGTTAAGAATTGTGAGTCCCTTTTTTGCGTCGTTTTGGTGGAAGGCAACAAGGCAACGGACGCTTATACTTATTAATTAGTCCTTCGGACGGGATGGGAAATGGATCCCTTCGTGGTCATTACGCACGATTCGAACGTTTACAGAACCAAAGTCGTCCGACACGACCTTAACCCTACCTTTAACGATAAGTTCATCCTCTTCGTCAAACGAGCCCCCGCTTCCTCCCCTACGGAGATCAACTTATATACGCCTCTTCCTTCTTCCAAACGTGTCACTTTCCAAATATCGGACTGGGAACGACGACAATCTAAGGATCAGAAGTTGGCGGAAGGAACGTTGGATATAAGTGAGCTCATTGAGAAAGCTCCCAAGGCGGATGAGGAGACGGGCTTGTTCAACGAGGAGGCGATGAGGCTGCACCTGCCTGAGGAGAAGGACGTTTGGTTGGAGTTGGCGGATGGCGGGAGGTGGGAAGCGGCAAGCGAGAAAGAGAAAAGCAAGGGGAAGGGGAAGGGAGCTGGTGGAGCTGGTGGGAGTGGGGAGAGGAGGAAAGTGAAAGTTACGATCAGCGTCAAGTATGACCCTCATGGAGCTCTGAGGCAGCGATTCTGGAGGCATCACTTGAAGGACTACGATCTTGGTGAGTTCTTTTCTTTCTTCCCGTTCAGACTTCCCACTGATGCGTTCTTTGGACGATTAGATCACTCTGGTCAGTACTCATACGCTGAATTTTCTGATATCCTCGAGAAACTGGGTTTGGACGCTACGCCCGCACAATTGCAAGAATTTTGGAAGAAGTGCGATAAGAATCCAGAGTCGGACGAGTTGACGATCGAGGAGGCGATGAGGTGCCTTGAAGGGGAGTTTGGAACCAAAAGGGAAGTCTTGGATGAGGCTAAAGGCGAGGATGGAGACCAGGAGGATGAAGAGGAAGTCGAGGCTGCCTTGTTGGAGACTGTCAAGGAGATGGAAGGCGGTGCAGGGGAAGACGAGGAAGGGGGAGCGGTAAGGAGGCGTTCAACGGAGGAAGGTGGTCACCGAGGCGCAACAACGAGCATGTTTGGACATTCGAGGGAGTCGATGTACGATCTTGAGGCTGAGCTTAGGGAGATTTTCCTTAAGCACCCTCTTGTTTTCGAGGATGAGGATGGGTCTCGCCAAACGGAGGGAGGTGAACGAGCTGAGGAGGAGGTGGGAGTGGAAGGGAAGAAGGCGATATTGCACCCTCTGGTCCCGGCCAAAGCGATACCCGACATACTCGCTACATATTCGGAACGGCACGATGGACTGACGTTCTTGAAGGATGACGAGGAGAGAGAGTTGAGGAAGTTGTTGAACGAACTGGGTGAAGGGACCAGCATCGGACCGGAGTCTTTAATGACGTTCATTGCAAGGGCTACGGGCGTTGAGGAAAGCGAGGGAGATGGTGGTGCTAGTGATGGGGGGAAGGTCGGAGAGGGAGAACGGGTGGAGTTCCCAAGCACATCGGAGGACATTCCTCACCCGGCTGGTCTTGAGTCTGCGCAAGAGTTCATAGAGCCCGTCATTTCTGCCGAGGCGAGCAGAAGTAGAAGCACCACCGCCGAAAGTTCTGCCACTCCTCTCCCTTCGACTCCGAAGACGTCGTCGGTACTTGATGCTAGACAGAGGAGCACACCATTGGAGGCTACTGCCCCTAGTAGTTGGCATTCAAGACCTATTCCGGCCTATAAGAAACGTAGGAGTTCAGGTAGTGTGGGGAGCGTTGGAAGGGCTGGTAGTGATACCGAGGTGGGTCCCAGTTTGCCTCTGTCTGTGTTGAAGCTCTTGATAGATTGAACGATCTTTGTTTCTTTCTTGGTTATGAACAGGATCCCACGGTTCCTGAGCTTCTGGGGGGACATCGTGTACGCGGGCAATCGAATCCTACGTCTCCCCCTCAACGACTTCCACCATTTACTTTCCCCTCGTCCCCTCCACGATTGGGTCGATCGGCGCCTAGCTCTCCTCCCTTTCCTCATGCCGGATCTCAATCTGTACCTTCCCTTCCTCTTTCACCTACGAGGGGTGGATTTAAGAGTCTTAGGAGGCAGTCTACGGATCGTCAAGCGGGACTTGGGGTTGGGACAGGAGTAGGGTCTTCTCCTGAGTTGATTAACATGCCTGTTCCTAGAGTTCTGCGTAGGGGTCCTGAGGAAGGTGAGAAAGGGGAGGAGAGCAGGAAGGGGACGACGGAAACTCTGCCATCTTCTATGAGTTCTTCCGCTTATACCGACGACACTCTCGGAGACGATCGTCATCATCATCATCATCATCATCACGACCACGACTGCGACTGCGAACACGAACACGATCCAGAGGAGGTCGGAACGGAACGAACGTCACTCTACTCTGTCTCGACTGATCCTCATCATCATCATGAACACGAACGAGTGGAGGAATTGGAAAAGATTCAGCAGGAACAGCTGAAGAAGTTGGCAGAGTTGCAGACCAAGTTGGAGGAGAAGATGACCGAGCATGAGAAGGAGATGGAGGATCTAAGTAATCAGAAGGAGGATATTGAGGCTGAGCTTGCAGCATCGAGACAGAATGAGAAGGAGTTGAGGGCTAAGGATGTAGGTGCTCTAATGTTTTACTGGTTTTCGTGCACTGACCTCCTACATACAGCTCTTGACGTCGAAGCAGTTGATCACGGTGCGTTTCCTTTGCTTACCGGAGTTGAGAGGGGGGTCCAGTATCTAATTGTATCTTGACAGCTCGAAGCTGAGGTGTCGAGACTTCAGGCTGCGCTTGATGAATCTAAGACGGCTTATCAAAATCTTCAGAAGCAATACCAAGAACAGAACAGTATGTCCATTCATTTATTTCGTTGGTGCTCAGAGGGACAATCTGGGCTTATTCCTTTGTTTTTCCTAGTTGAAGCTGAAAAGTATCGCGCAAAGATTACTCGTAAGGAACTTGAGATGAAGGATTCTGAAGCCTACCTTGCCCACACCATCGCTGATGCCGAGAAAGTAAGCTTGGTTTTGATTTCGACATTTGGAAGGTCGGATCCTTACCACTCAAATGTCCCGCCAGTGGAAGAATTCTGCGGAAGTAGCACAACAGATGATAGCTTCGCTCACAGCAGAGCTCGAAGCCGTCCGCAATGCGGCCCAAGCACTCGATGCACAGAAACAAGAGAACATTTCTCTCAAGGAGACCATTGATCGCCTTCGCCTCGACCTCGATGAATTACGAAACGCAAAGTCTGCCTCCAGCAATGGTATCAGCCGGAATGGCACCATTTCTGGTAGTCTTGCTCTGGAGATGTCAGGTCTTCACCCAGGACAGGATGGAGAAGAGGGGGATCCGAGTTCGGAGGATGGAACTGTTGTGGGGCATGAGTATGGTGACGAAGGCGTGGTTCAGACTGTCGTCACTCGTAAAGTAGGTCATGCTTGTTGGGATTGGCTTCACCGCGCATTCTTACTGATATCGTGCGCTTTTCAGAAACTGGCCAAAATTCCGGACGGCGAAGAACAGACTACGGAAGTCAAAGCGTACTCTGAAGCCTTTGCTCAGCATACTGCCTCCGACTTTGCTCTAAGTGAATCGTCTCAGACCGAACCAGAGCCTGTTCCTGTTACGCAATCCATTGTCATTCAAACTGAAGCCAAGAAACTTCCAGAAGCTCAAGCGGCCCAGCCATCGGAGCCAAGTCCGCCACCACCATCTTATCACCTTCTGGAGGAGGAACGCGAGAAAATTGGGACGGAGGAACTTGCCAGATGGCACTCTGGGATTCACTCGCTTGATCCTCTGCCAGGTGGGATCTCAAGTGACGCTGTGGAGGAGTGGAATCATGTCAAAGACGAACTGGGTGTTACATGCCGTGCCATCGACGAGATCGTTGAGAGGAGCGAGGTTCGTGGGCCCCGGGCCGTTCGGGAGAGAGAGCGTGTCCCGGCTGAGCCTGAGCAATCATTCTTCACCGGATTGCGTGGGTCGATGGGTGTGCTGGTTGGAGCGACGATCTTTGGATGTAAGTTGGTTCCTTAGCTCTGATGGATGGAGTTAATTGACGTAACGCATGCATGCTTTAGTGATCGTATTTTCCACAGGACGCGCGTTGCACCCAGGAGGTCTTACACGCGATCAGAGATTGTGGGCTATTTACAATGACGTTGCTCGTGCTGGTCTCATGGATGGGTGGCTTACTCACGCGGCTGTCGCACCTGCTTGGGCGGTCCTTCGTGGGCTTAATCCTGCTGAAGCACGTCTCGGTTGGGTACCAACCTAATGTCGGAAGGAATTTTTTTTTACGTTCTCTCTTTTCTTGCTGCAAATCTTAGATTTCTATGGACGGACCTTTAAGCGAACAATACTTCATTTAACTCTGTCTCTGACTCCGGCCCATTAATTCTGCCTTGTACCATTATTTGATGACCAGTGTACTTCTAGCATGCTCTCAACATATCATAATATAATCTAGTTCACATGAGGTGAAGGTGGCTTTAGCTGTAAGATTGGCTGTTGACAGTACCTTGGTTAGCTGAGGAGCGGTAGGAATGCTTTTGGTGTGTGGCTGGGCTGGTGTTTCCTCCATTCTTCACAACTTTCCTTCCAACAGTTATGGGTTTTTCTGTATCGAAGGTCCACTCTGTTCAGGCACTGATCCTGCACGGTCAGGGTCCTTGTTTCCCGGAGTTCAGGCTTTCGCCAACCCCGGAAGCAAGGGTTTCCAAGGTTTACTCCACAGCCGGTCAGTGGCATGCTCAGCTATCGCCAGCGGACAACAGTACACTGCAGGTGCTGATAGCACTCACCGCGGACTCATAAGGGATCGGAAATGAAAGCCGAAGTTGATGGACGCGATTAGCCTCGGCGGCTGCACTCGCAACATGGCAAGGGACTAAAGATGGACCTCAAAAGGACATTCTGGATAATGAGCTATCATTCGCTGTGCCGTACATATATTCCTAGGATCTTGGACATCAGTACCATGTACATACAATTGAAACCAATCATTTTCTCCATTTCACTGGTTCTTGAAGGCCATTAAAGAACGGTTTTAAGTTTTTGAACGCTCGCAAACTTTTCTCCTTTCCTGCCCGAGGAAAGTCCTCAACAATAGTCTGAGCCGCGAGGAGAGACTGGTACTTTGGCTCAACAGCTGATGGAATCGCTGCGAAAGTCTCCGATATGCAACCGTGAGCGACAATTTCATAATGATGGTCGTCCCGGTGCAATTTGCTTGGAGAGCTGCGAGTGTTGTGAGGTATGTCTTTAGTAATGGTCACAAGTCCAGGTTCTCCTATCTTCCTGGCTCCGAGCTCGAAAATGATAGATATTACTGCCACCTTTTCATCTGGAACAGTGATCTGGCGAAGTACGCGGCAAGGTTTGGCCTCTTTCCGATTCCTGAATTGTAAGTTAATCGCTGATGTCGATTCTGGCGAGATAGACTTGGTTGGGTCACCCATATGAACAGGGATAACAGCATCAATCGACTCCTGGTTATCTTTGGCTTGGAGAGCCATGCCACGCAGCAGAGCTACTGCCAGGTTTGGAGCAGAGAGCGTTTCAGAATTTTCGGCCAGAGCGAAATGGGAAAAAAAGATATACGCATTCGCAAACGCTGTTTCCAAATTAGGGACACCCTCCCTGGCCGTCACCGAGTCGGCCTTCAATATCACGGTTTCGAGTTGCTTCGCAAATAGAGCCCTGAGAAAGTCGAGGACATGGACAGGTCGATGAAAATGTGGGTCAGGTGAATGATGATTTGGCAAAGAGGATTTTTGTCGGACGGCGATATCATGTGCAATAGTCACAAGAAGTCGACCGCAGATTCCCCCGCGCTCTCCCTTCGCAAGAAGTCCCTTCGCACAAGCCTGAGCTAGAATTTCTGGGCCTTGAATTTCTATTCCATTGCCATCCGAAGGGCCATTCAGACGCCTCGCTGCTGCTTCGGCCAGTATAGGCTCAGGGCGATCCGGCATGCATGAACTCGCGATGCTCTGGGATGGCATAAATAACACGCATGTGGGATTCAACCAGTTCTGATTCCATGGTCTTCAAGGCTTGAGTTGTGATGTCGAGGGCTATCCCGATGCAAACCCCCAGAGCAGCAATGAAAGAGTGGAATAGTCGCGCTTTGTTCCCTTCCACGAACAGTTTCTCTCCAGCGAACGGTATAACAGGAAATCCTTGATGCTCCAGCCACTCCTTGTGGTGGACATACCATCTATTAGGAATTTAGTCGATTTTGCCACAGATACAGTGGGCACCTACAGGCTACGTCCAAACCCTGCCATCACACTCATTTGGCCCACGTTTTCAAGGCTGAGATTTTTCTCCTGGTTTTCCAAAGTTTCAAATACTTTGTCCACAAAGATGTCGAACGGCAGCTCGGTGAAAGGAGGGAAAAGGCGGAGGCCCTGAGCAATGCGAACTGATGGATGGCTGGCGGGCGAGGGTCCGAATTTCTGGAGATGAGAACTCGTAGATAAAAAGATGAAAAACAAAAAAAAACAAAAAAAACAGGGAAATTGATTAGCGCAGATAGCACTGTGCCAAGGTTATGATAGGGTGAGCGACTCCTTGCGTCGGTCTCCTTTTCTGGTGGGACAGGTTCGGTAAGCTGGTGAGCTTCATCAAAGTAAATAATGCATTTGACTTCTTTTGCTTTCCTGTCATTACTAGAGATGGCCTTGACAAACTTGCGGCATGAGTTCTGCATTCGGCTTATGGAGTGGTCCAGTTTCATTAGGGCCGTTTTTTTATTTTGCTGTAGGACACCTAGCTCCACTAATCGAAGCTTCCCGAGAAAATTCAGCATGTGGCAGCAATTATTAAGGCCTCTAGACGTCACCTGGTCTGCCTGATTCGCCACAGAATCCAGGAACTCGTTCCTATTCGTACCACCTTCGATATTGGTCTGTCCATTGTCGAGATAATCAACCCATTGGCTCGCTAGCGCCGCTCCTGTTTCATGTTTGAAAATGGGTTTCTCAAGAAGTTCGGCGGCCTTTGTGAACAGCACGCTCAATAGAATTGCATTCTCTGCCTGCAGCCGAATATCGCTTTTTACATCGTGTCCGTGAAAATATTCGCGGAACCGCCTGTCCGGAGGGGGATAGGCTAGTGGTAAAATTAACATCATCGGTCGCAAATATGGGATTCGCGATGAAATATTGCGCACTTTTGAGACTAGGGCTCAGCTCCTCACGAATATTGATTGGAATCGTAAATACGGAGAGCGCGGCTTCATTGGCCATTCTGGATTTCCCCATACCCGAAGACTGGATGACTGATAGAGACCAATTGTATGGTCTCTCACTTGGTTCGATCCCGGCGCTTGACTCCCAATACTCGTTCAATACCTCGATGAGCAGCTTGTGCGCCTCTCCTCGATAGGGTTCGTGAAACGCTGATTGGAGACCTGATGCAACTTGTCAGGCAGATGAGAAGCTCAAGATGAACGGCGCTTACCGCGAACACTATGACTGGTTGGAAGCCCGCCACTCTGATAATCGGTAAGGCCCGTTAGAGGCCGCATATCGACTAGTAATGAAACCATGTACACTATAATACTGCCACAGAGCGAACATAACCTACCATCATTCAACAACTCGAAGAAAGAGTTGTCGCGGTATGCTTTGAGAAGCTTGGGAAATAAATTTGGGGTAACCGAAATATATTCACCACATGTGGCCTCATCAGGAGCATTGGTACCAGTGGGTAGATGAGTTGAAAGCAATATTTGTAGCAATTTTGGTGGTGTCGTAAATCCTCCGAAAACTAGACCATTTGCAGTGCTGTAGTCATCGATCGCCTGGATGACACGACTATTGAACGTTTTCCGATCGTCTCTGGCAGCCCCGCCTTTTGAGTCGACGCCTATGGGAGTACTCATGAAGAATCGATAGATATGGAGTCTGCGAAATCAGCCGGGTCCGGCATTCCGTGCCAGTGGCTCGTGATTGTTGGATTTCCGCCTTCGCCACTGAATAGTTTCGTTCAGTTCAGTGGTCGCAGGCGGCTCCAACATGGCGAAGGCGGAACTCGAACAGTCACGAGCCACTCCTTCGCCATTCAGTGGTCCCGACGAAAAATAATACTTATACGGGATTTTCCGACATCGTTGGTTTCTCCGACTGCAACAGACTTCATATCATCGATTCCTCATGAGTACTCCCATGGACATCAACCCAAAAGGCGGAGCTGCCAGAGACGATCGGAAAACGTTCACCCGTCGTGTTATCCAGGCAATCGATGACCACATCACTACAAGTGGTCGAGTTTTCAGACTTCGGGCACTACCAAAATTGCTACAAATATTGCTTTCAACTCAACTACCCAGTGGTACCAATGCTCCTGATGAGGATGCATGTGGTGAATATATTCAGGATACCCCAAATTTAGGGTTCAAGCTTATCAAAGCATACCGCGACAAGTCTTTCTTCGATTTGCTGAGTGATGGTAGGCTATGTTCGCTCTGTGACACTATTATAGTGTACATGATTTCATTGCTAGTCGATATGATGCGTCTTACCAATCACCGGAGTGGCGGGCTTTCAAGTATTCGCGGGTTTATCTTGAGTTTCTCATCTGCCTGACAAGTTGCATCAGGTCTTCAATCAGCATTTCAAGAACCCTATCGAGGAGAGACGCACAAGCTGCTTATCGAGACATTGAACGATCATTGGCGGTCAGGCTGGTCAGGTCAGAGACCATATAATTTGTCTCTATCAGTCATCCAGTCTTCGGGTATGGGGAAATCCAGAATGGTCCACGAAGCCGCACTCTCCGTATTTACGATTCCAATCAATATTCGTGAGGAGCTTGGCCCTGTTCTCGAAAGTGCGCAATATTTCATCGCAAATCTCATATTTTCGATCGATGATGTTAATCTTGCCGCTAGCCTATCCTCCTCCGGACAAGGAGTTTAGCTATTATTTCCAAGGACACCTTATAAAAAGCGATCTTCGGCTGCAGGCAGAGTACGCAATTATATTGGGCGTGCTATTCACAAAGGCTGCCGAACTTCTTGAGAAATCTTTTTTCACATATGAAACAGGAGCAGCGCTAGCATCGGAATGGGCTGATTATCTCAACGAAGGACAGACCGGTACCGAAGTTGGTACGAATAGGAAGAAGTTCCTGGATTCTGTGGTGGATCGGGCATGGCAGGTGATGTCTAGAGGTATTAATAGTTGTTGCCACATGCTGAATTTTCTTGGGAAGCTCCAATTAGCGGAGCTAGGTGTCCCACAACAAAATGAAGGAGTCCAAGAGAAACTTCGCCTCCTCATACCCTGGATGCAGTACTGGTGTCGCAGGTTCATCAAGGCCATCACTGGTAATGATGAGAGAGCAAGAGATGTCAAATGCATTGTTTACTTTGATGACGCTCACCAGCTTACCGAACCTGTCCCACCGCAAAAGAAGAACAATGCAAGGAGTCACTCGCCCCATGATAACCTTGGCACAGTGCTATCTAAGCTGATAGATTTCCCTGTTTCTTTCATTTTTTTATCTTCGAGTCCTCATCTCCAGGAATTCGCTCCCTTTCCCGACAGTCATCCATCGGTTCCCATTGCTCGAGACCTCCCTCCTTTCACCGAGCTTCCGTTCGACATTTTCGTGGGCAAAGTATTTGAAAATTTGGAAAGCCAAAAGAAAAATCGCAGCCTTGAAAACGTGGGCCAAACGGGTGTCATGGTGGGGTTCGGACGTGGCCTGTAAGTGCCTACTATATTTGCGGCAAAATCGGCTAAATTCGTAATAGATGGTATGTCCACCACCAAAACTGGGTGGAGCGGAAAGGATGGCCTGTTATACCGTTCGCCAGAGTCAAACTGATCGCGGAAGGGAACGAAGCGGAAGTATCCCACTCTCTCATTGCTGCTCTGGGGGTTCGCATCGGGATAGTTTTCGACATTATAGCTCAAGCCTCGAGGACTATGGAATCGAAACTCATTGAGTCCCACATGCGCGTTGTTTATGCCATCCCCGAGCACCGCGAGTTTCTTCATGCCGGATCGCCCTCTGAACCTATACTGGCCGAGGCAGCAGCCAGGCATCTGAACGACCCTTCGAATGGCGGTGAAATAGAAATTCAAGGTCCAGAAATTCTGGCTCAAGCTCGTGAGAAGGGACTTCTTTCCAAGGGAAAGCACGGGGAACTCTGCGGTCGACTTCTTGTGACCATTGCACATGATATCGCCGTCCGACAAAAATACTCTTTGCCAGATCTTTATTCACCTGATCCATATTTCCATCGACCTGTCCATGTCCTCGACTTTCTCAAGGCTCTATTTGCGAAGCAATTCGAACCCGTGATATTGGATGCCCACTCAGTGACGGCCAAGGCGGATGTCCCTGATTTGAAAACAGCCTTTGCAAATGCCTACATCTTTTTTTCCCATTTCGCTCTGGCCAAAAATTCTGAAATGCTCTCTGCTCGAAACTTGACGGTAGCTCTGCTGCGTGGCATGGCTCTCCAAGCCAAAGATAATCAGGAGTCGATCGATGCCGTTATCCCTGTTCACATGGGTGACCCAACCAAGTCTATCTCGCCGGAATCGACATCAGCGATTAACTTGAAATTCAAGAATCGGAAAGAGGCCAAACCTTGCCGCGTACTTCGCCAGATCACTGTTCCAGATGAAAAGGTGGCAGTAATATCTATCATCTTCGAGCTCGGAGCCAGGAAGATAGGAGAACCTGGACTTGTGACCATTACTAAAGACATACCTCACAACACTCGCAGCTCTGCAAGCAAATTGCACTGGGACGACCACCATTATGAAATTGTCGCTCACGGTTGCATATCGGAGACTTTCGCAGCGATTCCATCGGCTGTTGAGCCAAAGTACCAGTCTCTCCTCGCGGCTCAGACTATTGTGGAGGACTTTCCTCGGGCAGGAATGGAGGAAAATTTGCGAGCGTTTAAAAACTTAAAACCATTCTTTGATGGCCTTCAAGAGCCAGTGAAATGGGGAAAATGATTGGTTCCAATTGTATGTACATGGTATTGATGTCCAAGATCCTGGAATATGTGTATGACACAGCGAATGATAGCTCATTATCCAGAATGTCCTTTTGAGGTCCATCTGTCCCTTGTGCAGCCGCCGAGCTAATCGCGTCCATCAGCTTCGGCTTTCATTTCCGGTCCCTTATGAGTCCGTGGTGAGTGCTATAAGTGTACTGTTGTCCGCTGGCGATGCCACTGACCGGCTGTGGAGTAAACCTTGCTTCCGGGGGTGGCGAAAGCACTTGACTCCTGATTTTCCTCGACAGCTGAATAAACTATATCATAGCCGAGAAACAAGGAGAACTGACTCTGACCGTGCAGGATCAGTGCCCGAAACAAAGTGGACCTTCGATACAGAAAAACCATAACTGTTGAAAGGAAGTTGTGAAGAATGGAGTAAACACCAGCCCTGCCCCGCACCCAAAGCATTCCTAAGCTAACCAAATAGCATGGCTAGCTAATGCCCTCTTATTCCAATCTCCATCTACGCCAACCTCCAACAGCACACTGCTGATAATCTCGAAGCTTCCCCTCTTTCCACTCCACTCAACAATAAAGATCCATCCTTCTTCGCTATCCGTAAGGACTATCCATTCCGCATCATCGCTTCCTGGCGTCGAGCGACTGGAAATTTTATATGGCGCTAGCTCAATTGCGTTGGCTTTTCCGCCCGAAGTGGGTGTTTGAAATATACTTGTGGCGAAAAAAAGAGTTCCCTGTGACATTTCTTCCTTCGAAAAATCCAGTAAGTACTGCGGCAAGGGTAAGTGAGAGAATTGATCAGAGGGGTTTAGGATGAGTCCATCCGAAGATATGGCAAATGCAGCGAGGTATCCTTTGTATTCCGATGTAGCACCGCGAGTTGTTGCGAATAGGTACGACACGGGTTCCTGCTCTTCGGACCATTGTATATCCTGTTCCGGAGGACGAAGGGGGAAATGTTTTCGAGATAGCCGCAGGGTGTCACCTCTGTAATTGTGTTGGTCTGAGCCTTACGAAGAAGGTCAGGGCACCGGAAACAGGAAGATGAGAGATACGACTACCTGGAGGGAGGATGCTAGCTGATTGGCGGTGCTCAAGATGGTCATCCGCTATCTCGTACACATCCACGAATGAAGCTGGTAATAACCGCGTCCTGATAAGCATGTACCCGCTTGAAGTTTCATCCACCCACTGTGTTCAGTAACCTGCACACGCGATCAATTTCGTTTGAAACACGGGGAAAACATGGGGTATGAAGATAACTCACAGAATACAGATATTTCTCATTAGAAGACGGAATGACGTGCCTAGGGGCGTCTCCTTCGCGCGGTGATTTGTTCTCACTCAGGAACGTCAGCTTTCCCGACAGCCGGTCCAATTTGTACATCCATATTGAGTTTCGACCGCTGTTCTGTCGGTGTCAGGTGGCAAGCTGACTAGAATGAAGTTGAATGACAAACAGATGCGGAACGAAAGCAAAGCCCGCGGTAGTGAACTCTACCGCATGGGAACCATTTCTCTGCTCGCGGATATTTTAGTGTCCTTTCATTGAGCCCTCCACGGATTAAAGACTGAAACTGACCAGGGCGCTCCTCGTCTTGTCCTCGGATGGAAGCTCGTCAGGATCAACATACAGCAGTTGCTGTGCCATCTCCCCGAATCCCTTGCTACTAGGGTCTATTTGGTGGACTTCCCCCGTTGGTCCTCCAACAGAATATATGTGCGAATCTGTTAGGGTGATGTACGAAGATGTCGAAGCTATGATTCACTCAGCAATGCCTCTATTCGGATCAACGTTGGAAATAAAAGCCTGGACTCACTGATAGGAACAATGTTTAGATGCTCCAACGTTGGGTATCGTTCATATGCATCCCATTCATTCCAGTTTATGAGCCATGAACTTAAGGTAGGCGGCCATGCCCACGTTGTTGTGTACAGTCTATCGATCGCGGTGTTCCTCGTGAGATATTGGTGTGGTCCGAAAGCATCTGTTCTCCCTATGACATTCAGTTGACGAGTCTGTGTGTTGAATGCTAGAATGTACAAAAATATAACATTGAACGAGCCTGCCACCAAGTGGAGAAGTGGAACTTGAGTGTCACAAAATCCGCGTGGTCACCACGTGAAGACAAACGTACCAGAAATCAGATAAAGTGTGTTCGGTAGCTTTATACAAGTCTCCGGAACAGCATCTATCATGCTTTGAGCATAATCAGTGCCCTGGACGGGATAAGGCATCGTGGACGCGAAGATGTAAGGTGCGGCCATGAGTGATTGAACGTGTGATTGAACGTATCCCCCACTCCGCATGACTTACACAAACATCCATGATCGTTTGCCTTACAGTGTACAGTAGGTAGGACAGTTATGTAAGGGTCCTGAACTTGATACGTGTTAGATTATGAGTACGGCCGGAATGAAAAATTGATTACCACATTACCTTGCTTGCAAGGTCTCTTGATAGTACTATAGTCCGCTGGCTTACCGCGAATCCCGGTCTGATCGGTTGAGCCACGCACAGCCACTGCACATCTTGCCCATGAATTAATTAATTGTGACTTCCCAGCCGGGAAATTTTTCAATATTCGACTTCAACGTTCATGACGCTCACGTGTCCAGACGAGTAGATTGATCCGCTCTTATAAAGCCCAAGTCGCGGTCTCTAGTTAGCCCTCCAGTTCTCGTACTCCAGAATGTTCTCACGCCTATTCGTGTCGGCTTTCTTATCCTACCTATTGTTGGCCCGTGGTGTGAGTGCCCATCCTGAGTCGAAGACACCGGAGCAGGTCAAGGCGTATCAAGATCTGCAAGCTGCAGCGTACCACTGTGCACCGACAATAGCTAAATATACTGCTGAACGACAAAGGCGATTTGCTGAGCACGTTCTGGGCGGGTCGAGTCCTCAGTATCTCCTTTCCTCGGATAATGGACTCTTTGACAGCGATACATACGAAGATGTCGGACCGCAGAAATTGCTTGCTTGCACTCCGTTCGAAGAGCAGAAGATAAGGAATAATACCTGCGTACTTGGTATGTCCGTCCGTTCGAACCTGTCGTTAGTTTGGCCACGGAATAAATCGGGGCCTTACCGCTGACATGTAGCTTTGTTTTCCAGCGCCCGAAGTCACTGCGGGCCCGTACTACGAAACGGCGGAACACCCAATGCGAACGAACATTGCAGAGTATCAGCCCGGTCTCCTATTCGTGAGTCCGACTTCGTCTCCACGTTGCCCATTATACTCAATTCTCGCCTCGATGCGGCTCCTCTCTTGCTTCATTAATAGTTGATCAATATCGGGGTCATAGACGTGGAGACCTGCGAACCAATTCCGGACGTCCTTGTTGACATCTGGCATGCGAACGCCACGGGACATTACTCTGGCCATCCTGAACCCGCTCCTGAACTAGCTAATGAGGAACCTGTCAAGGAAGGCCGTCGGAAAGGCCTTCTGAGCCCATTCCCCAAGACGAAGTGGGGTGAGACGTTTTGCCGCGGTGCCTATCCCACCGACAAGAACGGTGTGACACAGTTCACGAGCATATTCCCCGGGTATTACACGGGTCGTGCAACTCGTACGTATTTCGCGCGCCCACATTTTTTGCCTCCGGGGCAGTTCAATTAACACCCGCAATCTATTCATCAGATGTTCATGTTAAAGTTTTTCCCAAATGGACCCCTCTCGATAACGGGACGTTTATCGGTGAACGACTCGTTCATGTCGGACAACTGTTCGTCCCGGATGATCTTAACATGGCCGTTGACAAGCTGTGGCCATACAATACAAATCCCATCGCCGAGATTCGCGGCCGGACGCGTAACTGGGAGGATAGTTTGAACATCTTCTGGGATTCTCAGAAGGGCGGGTATCATTCTATATTTGAGACGCACTTACTTGGCGGAGTGTTGCAGCAGGGCGTAATCGGGTATATTACCATGGCCGTGAATATGTCAGCGTCGGTGAGCGATGGATGGCATATTTAGGTTACTATGATGCCTGCGATTCGTCATCAGCATGTTTTTTTTTCTTCCATCTTTGTGTGTTCGTAACACCACTCCCTAGCACCCAATCCAATGTAATCATAGTTAGCATTGAGGTGAGTTCCGTGCCGCTTGTGTGCTGCATGTAACACACCCACAATGCCATCACCAAGCATGTATCCGGAATGTACGATCGAGATTAGCGTTGGAGGATGTTCCTTTTTACACATTTAACTTTGTACACACTTCACCCAATTAACCTTTGACGGTAGCAAGGTCGACTCCATGTTTCCAATGTAGGAAACTGGCTCCACGTTAGTAGAGGCTAGCTTGAATAATACGTGGATTAATTTGGCTACACGTATCTATGGTCATGGGACTCTGAAGTACTGTTATACTGTTATACCTGGTCATGATCTGTAGGGCTCTAGGGCTTTAGCGAGCTTGCCTAGGTCTGGCTAAGGGGAATCTGAGTGCTGTGATGCTTTCACATTATTTTGTCTCCATGCCACCGTTGCATCTGAACATGCATCAAGTAATCATTATTGGGTGGTAGAGCCTACAGGTTGGTGCGATCGGACTTTGTATCGCTACGCTAGTTATCAGGGCTGGAATGAAAAGGTATAGTAAATTCCCATAAACGTACAGTTATACGCTCTGGATGTCTCCTCTCCATGGAAAGGAAAGACCGTCGTAAGAGGGGAAAACAAGAATTAACTAATGGTAAGGGCAGGTTGATGATGTGGGAGCAATAATGTAGAACGAAATAGTGACACGAGCCACAGCAAGCCTAATTGTGTCAACAGAAACCTAACCAATATGCAAATCAGGAGAACCACAAAAGAACTTCTCATACCATGAATGTTGATCCTACTTGCCAAATCTTGCCTCGAATTCTCTCATGACGGCCTCCTTGACGAATTTTTTCGGCGCCCTCCGCCCAGTCCACAACCTCGTTTGCTCGTACCCTAGTTCAAGAAGCACCTCGATACCTTCGACCGTTGACCATGGAGCAGCAAGGGCGCGAGTCGAATTCTCGTAAGTTGAAGAGGAATTCAGTTGTGGATGGGGAAGATGATTGCCGAGTGGGCGAGTGTGGGAGAGCGAAGATAGATTATCGTAGTCGTCCATTTCCACCTTGACGGCGGACATTACCCTCTCGCCTGAAAAGGGTAGAGCATGAGCATGAACAATGCCATTAATACCAGAAGACGGATTCTTGGTCATGGCGGAGATCTTGGTTGCCCTTTGATTGACCTCTTCCACTATTCTTAACAGTGGCGTCATACGGGGTTGATATACCAACTCAACAGCCACACCGCCCGCCGCGCTCAATTCAAGCACGTCCGCTCGAAGTCCAACATCAGGGATGTCACCCACTCTCCCATCATCCTCTCCTTCGATACGTGATGCGGGGATGGTAGAAATTATAAGAGTGGGCATTTCAAGCCATCCAGCCAAATAGGCGTTAGCGACCATTGTACGTGTCATCTCGGCAACGCCTCTTTTGACGTCTTCCCTCGATACTCCCGTGAGTACACCGATCCTCACCGCCGTCCCACTAGCATCGGCTCCCTCGAGCCTTTCGCGCATCTCCCTTGCCAGCGATACGGCCTTATCCCTCGTGCGATTCCACAATAAGATATGCGACACACCAATTTGGTACAGGGCATAGATCGCTGCCCTTGCTGTATCTCCCGCACCGAGAATTAAAGCTGTAGTGCGGCATGTGGGTCCATTGAGGCTTGTGTTGATTTTTCGAGTGAGACACGTGTAAATGGCCACCCAATCCGTGTTCTCGCCTACAATGTGAGTCGCGTTCCCGAATCCGGGCGAATGACACGGTATAAGCATATTGATAGCCCCTATGAGCCGAGCATGGTGTGAAACTCGTTTGCAGAGTGCCATTGCACTGAGCTTGTGTGGAGTCGTGAGAGCTGCACCACCAAAATCCGCCGAAATGATGGCATCTTCAAACTCTTCAAGATTGAACTTGGTGGTTGAGATGGGGGTGAAGGTATGCGGGAGTTTAAGCAATTGGAAGGCCGCACTATGAAGGTGGGGTAAGAGTGAGTGTGCAATAGGGGTTCCAAAGAGATAAAAGGATCGTTGTGGTAGAAGCCCTGTAAGGTAAAGGATTTGCTGGGCCTCGGCATAGGAGAGTTGACCTGGGGAAGTTGGGCTGGGAAGCAGAGGATGTGTAACGGGAGACAAGATGGGGTTAAGGACGCGTGACATTTTCCCCTTGCAAGGATGAGTCAGACCAAAAACAACCGAAGGGAAGAACGGATTTTGCAAACCTCCGGACCCATGTTGATAGCGAGTATAGGGACTGGTTTTGTGAGTACGCTCTCAACGAAGGTTCTCAAGCTAAGATTATCCTCAAGGCGCTTCGCCGTGTTGACAATTTTGACCACGCTGACCCCTAGGTTAACAGCCCGCTCATAAATGGCCTTCGTCTCGGGCCCTGTCCAGGAAATACTGCCGTTCCAGTCATACCACGAGCCGATGACGCGAGAATATCCTCTCTGGCTCACCAGGGACGTGAACATCTCCTGTGGCATGCTCAGTCCAAGATCCACGTACTCGCATGCAAGTTTGAAAGCGAGGACTATTAGACGGTACATTCCCGCACGCGCACGCTCATCAGTAAGATCGGGATACAGACCACCTTGGGACTTGGTCCGCACAGTGTAAAGAATCGGAAGATCGGAGTGTCGCCTGATGGTAGCGATTTGGAAGGCAATGAAAGTTAATTCATGAGAAGCGAGCAAGTCCACACGCAATTCCCAACAGTCGATTCCAATTGAGATTTCATCGACGGTGGGGAAAAGACCGTGGAGAGGTCTGGGAACTTCAGTGGAAGGAAATAGGCGCGTGGAGGAAGTGTATGCAGTCCGGCTGTTGGGCTGATGAGCACATGGTTGGTGTCAATACCATGGATAAATTTGAGGAGGCGGAGAAAAGCGGACTCAACAGGCTTGAGGAGAATGGAAGTCGTTGAAGGATTTGAGGCAGAAAGATTGCCCGAAGTTGAAAAGACGGTTAGCGAAACGAATTCATGTGACGAAATATCATTGTAGTAGCTTTCGCGACGGTCCCATGCTTCCGCCGCAGTTATGCGCAGGTATGGGGGGAACATTGCGCAATTCTCCTCAAGGTAGCGGAGCACAAGGTCCTTTTCCCTCATAACGTGGATGACTGGGCCGCGAGACTGGCCAAATTCCTTGAGAAGCTCTCGGTTCTCCGCGCGTTCAACGACACCACCGCCGCAGGCGATGACCTTATTTGTCGGGTACCGATCGAGAAGCGCGTTGAGCAACTGGGACTCCTTGTTGCGAAAAGAATCCCATCCATGAGTCGAGATGTACGAATAGATGTCCTGCTTTACGTGGGCTGCAAAGATAGTATCTGCGTCAATCGCCTCCCACCCCAAAGCTTTGCTTGCAATCCGGGCAAGCGTTGTCTTGCCCACTGCATAAATGACGACGTCGACGGCAAAAAAATGAAGTTGTTGCGGCTGTCATTTAAAACTCTGCACACGTGATTGCTTAGAGCACAGACCTCCTCTCATCCCCACGAGGATGATGGACGCGTTTTTCGCATGTCGTGGTGATGATGAGCAAACGCGAGACGAAAAAACGCTATTTTCCATTGTGGGCGGCATGAAGGACCAAGGAAGGTCGGGTGCGTGAGTGTAAAGGAACACAAAAAAACCATGTTCAGATTGGGACTTTAAAGTTCAGCGAAGGAGGAGGATCCATCTTCCATGGAACCGGCATTGACATCGGGGTAAAGACACGTGCATTCATCTGGCTACACGTGATGGACTTGATGTGGTCGGCAAATCCTAATCTCTCCCAAGCACGGCGACGGTTTGACCGATCGAATCAGCTGGAGAGATCAGTTAGGTTGTTGGGCCCGGGAATGGGTATCGAACCTTTCCAGCAATTTTCCTGGAATATTGCCGGATTATGTATCATACCCATGAACGTATTTCCGCGAAAAGTTGTTCAAACCTTTATATTATCCTCCATGTGTGTCGTGGCAGATGCTGACCACCACTGTGCATACAAGGACATACTTTTAGCTCCTCCAGATGGTTTGATACTCGGGTGATATAGTGTTGAAATTTGAACTTCTGACGGAAGCGAGTGTGTAACCAATTCTAACGACGTGACGCGGCGCGGTCTGCGCACATTTGATTCATCATTTGTCGGTAGCCGAGCTCAGAAAAACGTCAATATTTTGTTTCACCCAAGCTGACGGAACGCCCGTTGTCACGACAGTCTAGATCTCTATCCGAAATGACTCTCAGTGACAAACTATTGCGAGTAGAGTGAAAAACCATCTGGACGTCCTACACATCCACATTGCCTAGACACGCCCTCTGACTTGGTGCTTTTTTTATCTAAATATTCTCATCATAGACTTGTAGACTCGACGCGCATGATAAGCAGCCGTCGAGCTCGGTTTCTTGGACTTCGAATACCGAAAGCATCTAATTCCGGATTAATTCCACGGGCATGTGCCACATTGCACCGAATCGCAAAGAAGCCTTCGACACACCATCTTTCACCGATCATCCGAACACCCCGCACAACTCTATCGCAAGCAGATCAAGACTACATGGCTGACGAACAACCCACCGCCCAAATCATCGACGGGACTGCCATCGCAAAGTGAGTACTTTCGTCATTGGATCATAATGATCGCCGACTGACTCATTCTTTGAATTATCCTCTGCGTTCCACTTCGTGTCTTGTCGATAATTATTCCTTCCCAGAGCTGTCCGCGATGAGGTCTCGGAGCGCATTGCGTCCCTCCGAGCCAGGTACCCTTCATTTCAATCTCACCTCGTTATTATCCAAGCCGGCGCAAATCCTTCATCTTCAATCTACGTGCGCATGAAGTTGAAGGCAGCTCAAGAGGCGGGCATTAAGACCACTCACGTCCAGCTGGAAGAAGGCGTAAGCGTCGACGAAGTTATCAAACAGGTGACACTGCTCAATGCGGATGAGACGGTCAGCGGGATATTGGTGCAACTACCTCTGGGAGACCATGTCTCTCCTGAGGCGGAGAGAAGGGTCACAGAGGCTATCAGTCCCGAGAAGGATGTCGATGGGTATGCACCTTGCTGTATTATGAGACCTTTAGGCTCTTACATTCGCACTAAAGATTCCACGCGTACAATATTGGCCATCTTTCCTCTCGTGCATCTCAGCCGATCTTTACGCCCTGCACTCCTGATGGCGTGATCCGCCTCATTGACAGCACAGGCGTGCCTATCGCGGGTGCACACGCTGTTGTCCTGGGTCGAAGCGACATCGTTGGTAGTCCTGTCGCCGCCATGCTAAGGAAACGTGATGCCACCGTAACTCAGTGCCACAGTCGGACTAATAATCTCCAGAACCACGTTAGTCGATGGCCCCGTCCCAGTCTGCGGATTTTTACCAATGTTGACTGTGACAATTTTAGATTCATGATGCTGATATACTCGTTGCTGCGATTGGAAAACCAGAATTTGTGAAGGGAGAGTGGATTAAACCAGGCGCTGTCGTCATAGATGTCGGAACGAACTATATACCTGGTGAACCATTTTCCGCTCTTTGTTTATCGGTGTCTTATCTTCCAGTCATGGATAGACTCAACTAAGAAATCTGGCCAACGCCTCGTCGGAGATGTTGACTTTGCTTCAGCATCGAAGGTAGCGGGCCATATCACGCCCGTCCCTGGAGGTGTCGGTCCCATGACAGTCGCTATACTCATGTTTAACACTCTCCGCAGTGCTGAACGGCTTTGGGAGCAGCAAAGGAATAGGAAGATTGTTCCGCTTGAATTAAACCTACTAGAGAAGGTTCCAAGGTCTGTAGGTTGTCCCTTGATGCTGAAACATGTGTGCTCAGATATAGCGGAATATTGTTATATTTTACAGTGACATCGAAATCGCTCAGGCGCAAACACCAAAACTGATCACTCAACTAGCAGAAGAGATCGGCGTCCACCCTTCTGAATTGGAACCATATGGCCCATATAAAGCTAAGGTTTCGCTTTCTATCCTGGATAGGCTTGCAAGCCGAAAAGATGGTAAATATATCATCGTCTCTGGCATCACACCCACACCCCTAGGAGAGGGCAAGTCTACGACAACAATTGGGCTATCCCAGGCACTTGGAGCACATCTAGGGAAGATCGCATTCGCATGCGTTAGGCAGCCTAGCCAGGGCCCCACGTTTGGCATCAAGGGTGGTGCGGCTGGCGGAGGATACAGCCAGGTTATTCCAATGGAAGAGGTGAATATAGGAGGTGTGATAGATGTAATGCTTCTGACAATTATTCGTCCGCAGTTCAACCTACACCTTACTGGAGACATTCATGCCGTAACTGCGGCAAATAATTTGCTCGGTATGGTTACACTAGGTTGCTTTCTCAAAACCTTGGAATTTAGGGCGATTCACCCTTATAGCTGCCGCCCTTGATGCTCGTATGTTCCATGAAGCGACAACCCCCAACAAGTCACTGTATGCACGTCTCGTACCTATCAAAAAGGGAAAACGCGAGTTTGCACCTCTTATGCTCAAGCGTCTGAAGAAGTTGGGTATCGATAAGGTGGATCCGGATGCTCTGACTCCTGAGGAAGCGAACCGCTTTTCTCGCCTTGACGTTGATCCCGAGACCGTCACTTGGAACCGGGTGATCGATGTCAACGATCGGCATTTACGGAAGATTACTGTTGGCCAGAACCCCACGGAGCAGGGTCACACTCGGAGACTGGGTTCGATATCTCAGTTGCCAGTGAATGTATGGCTGTTCTTGCATTGAGCAAGGATCTGAAGGATATGAGAGAAAGGTGAGTTGACGATTTGCATTGCATTATATGGAACTGACGCCGATCTCAATGAATCAGGCTAGGTAATATGGTCGTTGCGACAAGCAAGAATGGAGACCCTGTTACTGCAGATGACATTGGCGTTGGAGGCGCTCTGACTGTGTTGATGAAGGATGCCATTATGCCTAACTTAATGCAATCCCTCGAAGTTCGTCTGACTCATACTAATTTTTTGTGTGCAACGTTAAAGGGTCGGCTTTAGGGAACACCAGTTTTCGTCCACGCTGGTCCTTTCGCGAACATTGCGCACGGTAACTCTTCCATTCTCGCTGACCGCGTAGCTCTGAAACTCGCGGGCACGGACGAAGGCGACGCACCAGAACGACAAGGCTATGTCCTCACGGAGGGTGGTTTCGGAGCTGACATGGGTCTTGAGAAGTTCTGCAACATCAAGTGCCGCGTTAGTGGATTGACTCCCGATGCGGCTGTTATCGTCGCCACAACTCGCGCGCTTAAGATGCACGGAGGTGGACCCGAGGTCACCCCTGGAAAGCCATTGCATGAGGTATATCTCAGGGAAGACCTGGTTATTCTTAAAGATGGTTGCAAGAATTTAAGAAAGCATATTATCAACACCAAGAAATTTGGTCTAAAGGTTATCATTGCCGTGAACAGGTTTGCGTACGTTCCCATTCTCATTGACTCCTTTCTTCCTCCCTTCAATGCTGAGTGTCGTTCTCTAGCTCTGATACCCAGGCCGAACTCGAACTCATTAAAGCGGAGGCTCTCGCGGCGGGTGCGGATGCAGCAGTTGTCAGTAACCACTGGGCCGAAGGTGGCGCTGGAGCTAAGGCTCTTGCTGAGGCTGTCGTTGCTCTTTGCGAAGGTCCATCAAACTTCAAGTTCCTTTACGACCTTAATGAATCTATTGAAGCGAAGATCACCTCGATCTCGAAGAATATTTATGGCGCAGATGGGATTGAGCTGAGCGAGCGTGCCCAAAAGCAAATTGAGACGTATACTAGGCAAGGATATAGCCACTTGCCGAGTAAGTTTGGGGAATATGTTGACGGAAAACGACCCTGAGACTCGGTTCCCTAGTTTGCATGGCGAAAACACAGTACTCGTTCTCTCATGATGCAAAACTTAAAGGTGATCCTGCAGGTAAGGACATGCGCTGGGGACTGGTATTGCCATCACGGTTAAACTATGACTTTAGGGTTCATCGTCCCAATCCGAGAGGTGCGTATGTCTGCAGGTGCTGGCTTCTTCGTGACAATTCTTGGGGTACGTTCGGCGTTCAAGAATGACCTTCACGGTACTGACGCATTGGTGACAGGACGTGCAAACTATGCCTGGTTTGGGCACGCGTCCTGGCTTCTGGGAAGTTGATCTTGATGAAAATGGACGTATCGTTGGCCTTTTCTAGATTATCTACTAATGGATACAGGCAGCTGCGTCTGCCGAATTCCCCAAGTAGGGTTTGACTAGAGTGCTTCGCCAAATCTGCACAGCATGCACGCATTTCAGCAACAGAATGTGTTCAATGTATTTAATGCTCTAAACGGATGAAATGAAAGAGAGTAAAGAACGCAGTTCGCCAGAAAGGACGTTAAGGCACATCGCTGCCATTCCTTCAATACGTAAAAGCACCCTAGTATCGAGAAGTATGACTATATCACCAGGTTCCAACATGTGCTTGTAACGCGACATCTCTTCGTGGTTCACACTGTGTTCATCCTGCACATCGAAGATAAGGAGAACTGCGCAACAGTTTAGCATAAACTCCAATCCAAAAGGCAGACTTACATTGCTTTCAAGCGGATAGCATCCCCTTCCATGGATAAGAGCTTTACTTTTTTAACTGTACTCACTGTTCGAGTGCAACGTTAGGGCTTCCCTCACATGTTCGTAACCGATTCATGTCAAGGGAACCAATGATTTGGGTCCCACTGCCGCGCGCTCTTCACATATTTGAGTTTCCATCAGGATCAGCTGCAGGCATATGGCATTATTATGCACCACCTGGCAGTGAGGCTAGGAGGGAGATAGATGGGGAAGACGTAAGAACGATGACGAAGGAAGTGGCAATGCGAAAGCAACATATCCGCAGACTGAGGAATGAGAACGTTTTTGCTCCAGCCGTCATTGGTAGGATCCATCTGGAAAACTAAAAGAAAGGTCGGCAAGTTGTCAACTCGAGTTCAAAGCAACCGTTGTGTTCGAAATGCCTCGTTTAAATTGGCGGAGCGAAGCGGGTGGTTTACCCAGGATGAATCATTAGGAGTGCGAGGGCTCGTGATTTGGGTGAAGCAGCCTATGTGTGCTCAAAGCAGTTGTTATCGGGCAGCACCTCCATGGGCCTGAATACCGGGATCTCAAACTGTAGAGATCCGTGGGAGTATTGTCTCAACCAAGATCGAGACCAGAACGAGGGGCTCCGAACCTTTTATGGTCCTTCGAGTCCTGAAGTCCACAGGTATCCCAAGGGCCTTCCACACTGTCCCCAGCGACGTTTGCTTCCGAGTCGGGTCTCAATTGTACTGTAAAGGACAAGAGTGCTCGTTCATCTACCAATAAAACCCAATTAATTCAATGGCGTATTTTGCTCAGTTTCTTAAGCCACCAACTGTATCGATAAAGGCCAATACTGATCCCGCTGCAGAATTTGATGCTTCGTGGTACGCGGTGAAGGTTTGTGAGCCACCTTCAACGCGTTCCTATATACTTAGTAACCCATCATTGCGGTTAGAGCACTCTGGAGTTTCCGGACGAGAGACAACTCGCTCGAGGAATCACATCCACAAATGTTGTTGAGCACTTGAACGCCATGGTGAACTTATTGATCTACGAGTCTTCGGAGGGTGACGAGGGGTGAGCAAGCCAGGAGTTATTTCGCGACTCTTCTCATAACTAGTCACACGCGACTGCGCAGATCAGCAGGGGGATGCATGGAGTATTTACTCAAGAATGGCAAGCAGTGACCATCTGGGTTTTAAGTGAGACTTTCTCATCTTGCAGCCGTGCTCGTTCAGACGTTCTAGGAACACTTGTTCGCTTAAGCGAGATCGACCGTCCCTTTGGCATTCAGGCTGAGGTATTAAGAGTCATCACGAAACTTGTCTCGGCTCTCGATGAGCGATTTCTAGTTCACTCGGCAGTCCATAAAGCCGTCATTCGCCTCCTTAGAACCTCCGTGGGCGAGGAACTTGATCATGTTGATGGTGCACGGCCAATGGGTGCCGCCAGCATTTCCGTACGTGCTGAACCATCGGACTATGAGTATGAACGTTCGTGCACGTCTTGTCCTCGTTATTCCCATTTTTGATTGCCCATTGTTCAGTTGCCGAATTACTCTGCACACTTTGCAATCGGATACGATCTTACCGGGACCTCCTTCTCATTTTTCTGCATGACAAGAACTGGTATCAACCTTCATCGCTTCCCGCCATGTATGATGACGGTGAGGAGGAGGAAGCAGTCTCTGCATCGGATATCTCCCAATCGGTCTTCGAATTACAAGGCTCGCAGGGTCGATCCATTTCACCCACGCCTTCCGCGGGTTCAGTTAGCACCATCACCACTGCGCGACAAACCGTAGCGTCTGCGAAGAAAGCAGAGTATGAATTTCTTATCTTCAATTACCTTCTCCGTTTTGTTCATCGCGAAGGGCGAATCGGAGATCTTGCACGAGGTGGGATCCTTTCCCTCGTCACTGTAGCGATGTACTCGGGGGATAACAACACCGGAGAGACGCAGACCCCAACTGCAAGTTTCTTGCGGACGGACGGTATCTCAGTGGATCCTGTCGCGGAGGCTGCACTTGCATTAGCTGAGTACATCCTGGACGGGGACTTCCCCCAGGTTCTTTGCGCCGGGATTGGAGCTGTCTACTCAGCTCTACCGACCAAACTCACGATAAGATGGAAGTCACCAACGAGCGATAATGGTGGTGGCATGACTCTTGGTGGAGCGATTGACCAGGATGGTGGGGCCGACCCTGGCCTGGGACTGGACGATGAAGTCATTCCAGGCGCTGTGGATTCGACGGATCCAAGTTTCATGTCCCTTCTAAAGCATTTTCTACATCTCTTGGAGTTCATGCAGGATCTTCTAATACAAATTACCCTCGTTGCAAGTTCTTCTGAACTGGACACGGAATACACATCGCCCTCATCGCTGGTGGCGCTTACCCTTTCGCATACAGTCCTTGATACCTTTAGAACGACTTTTCTCAAGAACGTACTATATCCCTCCATCCTGGAATGCTCGGGGAAGATGGAAGCGCAGTTGCTGTGATGACATATATTGACGAAATGCTCCGCCTAACGAAGTCTGAGAGGAACGTTTCAGATCTCATCATTGTCTTTCTTATGAGCAAGGATGATGATACGGGGGATACGCTGCATTCAAACACAGTGGCGAGAGCAGAACGGGAACGGCGATCCCGCAAGAAGAAAAACCGCAAGACCACAGCTCTGGTGTTACTGGAACACCATCAACAGCAGCGTCTTGTCTCCCAGCAACATTACGACATACTCACAACATCTCTGGGTCGATTTACTCTTAAGGACTTGTTAATTGATAACATACAGTCAGCGAATAGGCACTCGGCTTGTACGGCTCTCCGACTTCTTCGTTCACTGTGCACAGATCATTGCCATCTCACCTCGACTATAGACGGATTAGGACTCTTCATTGTGAACAGTCAGGAGGATGCCACCAACTTCCAAGCCAGGCACCAAGCATCAACCAGTGGGCCTGCAATGGATTTGGTGCGCGAAGAAGATGAATCGGAAGAGTTTGTGTATCCGGGAGTAACGCCTGAAGAGACGAAAAAAGTCAAGCCGCTACTTTATGCCCCGTTCGAAAAGGAGAACTTCATCACTTCTTCTGAGCATGCACGAGAAATAGAGCTATACGATCGCCTTATCTCGCGTATCGTTCCAGCTGATTCCAACATGTCTGATTCCCTTTTGGGGATGTCATCTTCTGTCTCATATAGCAACTATCTTGGTGACGCAGTCACCCTCGTTTCCCGGACTCCTTGCTATACTCTTCCCACTTCCTCGGTGGCAGATCCTCCACCCGTACGTCAATATTCCTTATCACTGCCTCATCGTTTGTCCCCGTTGGATGCCCTCCTGCAGACTTTGCTGCAATCCTTGCGGCTTTTTTTCGTTAATTCACCTCAGATAAACGTTGAGCTCACTGGTGTGCTGAGTGCCATCTGTGCATGCCCTTATAGAGACATGGGAGGGTGGCTCAGCATGGGAGTTAATGACGATGCCTGGGGCGATGTGGATTGGGAAGGGAAGGGTGTGATGGGGAGGCCAGAGGACGATGAAGACGAGCGCGAAGGAGACGATAGGTCAATCGACTTCAGGATCGATATTCTCCTGCGCTCTGGCGTCAAGACAGCCTTGTCCCCATTGAGGCCAAAGCCACGAACTGTTATGCCAGTCCTGTATTCTGTGCTTTCAGGACTAGTTTCTCAACTTGATCGTTATCGGCGCTCTGTCACCGATTTCGACAAGTTTTTGGAGGAACGAAGACAAGGTCTCTTATTTTTCACCGATAACATCACTGATGCTATCAACTTGAACATGATCATGGCAGCAGATGAGCAGGCCCTAGGTCGGAGCGGCACCAAACGCGGCGATGGGAGGAATGCCACCGCAGCTGTCCCGACTCCACCACCAAATACCCCCGCGAGATCAAATGTACTCGCTAAGGGTTTCGCATCATTGACTGGGATATTTAGCCCCTCGTCAAGAAAATCATCCATCAAGTCCATTCCTCCATCAACGCCAGCGAAAAGCAAATCAGCCCCCATCGTACCACAAACCCCAGAATATTCGGGGTCAACAAGTAGGGATTTTCCAACTAGCCCATTCACCCCTCACTACAAGCACACGAGGGGAATCACTGTTGAAGGGATTGTTGCCCCTGCACCCACCGAGGGGCCGTGGTCCCCGCAATCCCGAACGACGAAGGCCAAGACGAAAGCTCCAGAGTACAACCCTTTTGCACCATCTTCACTCGACTTTTCTTATGGACTAAGTAATGAAGCTAGTTTTGAGGATGTCTTCACTGCGCCTGCTTCACGGTCCCCGGACGTGAACGAAGCGAACGGTATTGCACCTCTGGATCCTGAACAGGCACTCGCAAAGCGAGCAAGTGCTGCTCGGCTAAACCTATCCCAACTTCTCGACAACGTAGTGGTCTTAGAGGAGAGCGTGAAGGAGCTAGCGGCTATCTTACAAGTTAGGAGAAGCTTGGGAATTGATGCACTAGTTTATGCATAAACAATTGGCAGGAAGGACGAATTATATTATATTGGATGAGGAGGCTGGAGACCACCACTGTTTGAAGCTAGTGTAGGGATTAATGTGGGCTATGCTCTTAAAATCGGCGCGTCGGGCTCGCAGGGAAGAAATTGTAGCCAAAATAGAAGTCCCCAGTGCCTCATGGACATTAATGTGGTTGGCAGGAGTGTCCCGAAGGCGAAAAAATGGTTCTAAAGCACTGAACCAATCCCTAAGAATCAATAGGCAGGTGACCAGCCTCTCTTTAAGGGGAAGAGAAAGAATCAAGAGAGGTGCAGATTGGTCACTAAACTTCCGTTGGCCAACTCCATTGCAATTCAGAACATCAAAATCTAATCACGTGTCTATCGGAAGCGCCGAGAATTGAGCTGACCGAAAGCAGACCCAAGGTTGCAACACTCTCGCCCTCGGCACTGGGCCGCCGTATAAATCACTACAGGGTTTTCCTACCCTGTCTTGAAAGAGCTGCGGATGTCGCACCTCCTTTGTCATTTCCGCCCGCATGTACGACTTGTTTGGGCGCATTCCTTCGTTTGAGGTCTTACCGCAGTTCTTGTCATAGGCGCGACCCGCTTCAAGCACACTCTTGGCAGGATGCTCAAGGCCGATGACTGCTTCATTAATTAGTCAATTCACATTTCGAGCGTACTCTCCATTCTTTCGAGTATGTCTTTGGCTATTTAGGTTATGCCTGCGCTATGGTTTATGGTGTATCCTGCATGCCTTGCTGACGGACATGTATTGTAGCCTCAATACAGGTCATCATTTTTTCCCTCCACGGATGAACGGAAGGCTCTACCATCGATTCCTTGTGGCTTACACCTTCGCATTGACCCAGTACACTCGATATCACGGACACACTCAAGATTTCTCTCTTTGAACCCTTTCAATCGTGGCCTTGGACCAACCCCGCCATTTCCGAAGCTTGCCCATATTGCGCGCCTTGAAGCTGAGGCCAATACGAACCCACAGGATTTAAGCAAACAAGTGGCCCTGTGGAATGAGTTTATCAGATATCCCGCCGGCCAGAAGCGCATTATTAGCCGATACGAGCGTCTCGTAGAGTTTGACAAGCACTCTCCACTAATTCGCTCCCCTCAAATTTTCCAAATTTACCTTCGCGCTCTGCTTGCAACTGACCAAACCAGTTCAATTGACCCCGCAGTCCGACATCGGGATGTGATCCTAGCCCTCCCACAGCCAGAGCGGCAGTCCGAACCAGAGCCACTTACGGAATCCCAAACAATAGCAAAAGAACTGCTTGCTACCGCCACTAGTAAGCCCAAGGAGAACTGGCTGACCCAAGCCAAAACTCGTCTTTCCCCCGCTCCTGCACCAGCCCCAACTGGTGCTTGGGATGATCCAGCGTCCATATCTGCAGGTGACAAAGGTAATCCGGTGCATGTCATTGTCGAGGAATGTACGCCCTCTTCAGTTCATTTAGACCCATGTTGAGGGCTTACGTGTTTTCAGCGAGGGGTAGCGGCCTTGCAAAAGGTCTCAAATTTGTATTCCTAACGTTTTTATACGCGTTCATCGCTTTGACCATCCTTTCGTTGGTGTTGGAGAACACCGGGATTGCTCGCACGAACAACCCCTCACCCAAGAGTATGGAGTTCGAGGCACCCGTCGGGGGAAGGTCTACAAATTTTCCGATGTACATGGTGTTGATGAGGCTAAAGAGGTAATATACTGATGGTCCTGCAAATTCGAATTGAACTGATTCTGGCGACACAGGAACTGATGGAAATCGTGCAATTTCTGAAGGATCCCAGCGCTTTCAGCACCCTTGGCGGCCGTCTCCCGAAAGGAGTGCTCCTAACAGGGCCTCCCGGCACGGGAAAGACACTCCTGGCCAGGGCTGTTGCTGGGGAGGCAGGTGTTGTGAGTGGTTAAATCAGCGCGCTCGAATAGAGCATTGCTGACGTGGTTTCGATGCACAGCCGTTTCTGTTCGCTTCCGGGTTCGTAAGACATGCTCAATATATGTAGACAATGGCTTACGTGCTTTAGATCGGAGTTTGATGAGATGTACGTCGGAGTTGGCGCACGCAGAATACGAGAGTTGTTCGCAGCGGCCAGAAAGAAGCAACCGGCCATTATCTTCATTGACGAGTTAGATGCTATCGGAGGCAGAAGAAGTTCCCGCGATAATGTGAGTTCGTTTTGTGAAGCGATCTTCACAGGCTCATTCATTATTCCCAAATTTTGCAGCTATACATTAAACAAGTTAGCTCAACCACGAAACATCCGATTCTGACCTTGACTATCCCCGCGTAGACATTGAATCAGCTTCTCGTTGAATTGGATGGATTTAGCACAACAGGTGGGTACCCTGTCAGTATGCCCAGTTCTTACTAACATTGTTCAACGTAGACGGAGTTATTATTCTTGCAGCAACTAATTTCCCCGAAGCCCTTGATAAGTGGGTTGATTTTGATATTCCGAATTTTGATGTTTCAACTTCCATACCGCACGCAGGGCCCTCGTTCGACCTGGGCGATTTGACAAGACTGTTTCCGTGCCTCTTCCTGATATTCGAGGCAGGATAGAGATTCTCAGACATCACATGCGCTCCGTGCTTTCGTCCCCAGGTTTGTGATCATGCCGATTTCCGTGCACATGTTTTCAACTTTCGCCATTGTGGCTCCTTCAGAGGTGGACGTGAATGTCCTAGCCCGCGGTACCCCAGGCTTCTCTGGCGCAGAGCTAGAAAACATGATCAACCAGGTATGATCCATGCACTGCGAGTTCTGTGCATCTGTTGACAGCCGACCTCATCATTAGGCAGCGATCAGAGCTGCAAGGAACAAGTCCCCAGCGATTACACTCAATGATTTTGAGTGGGCCAAAGTATGCGACATCGAACACGAAACCTGCATCAAATTGTCGCTAACATTGATATGTAGGACAAGATTCTCATGGGTGCTGAACGCGTCAGTGCGTACATTCCTGAGGATGTCAAGCGCTCGACCGCAGTGCACGAAGGGGGCCATGCCCTAGTAGCGCTCTATACCCCCGGATCAATGCCTTTGCATAAGGTGACCTGTATGCCACGAGGTCACGCCTTAGGAATAGTAGGCACTTGTCCTGGTATCAAGCCGACTGCCTAACCTCATGGCTGTTTCTACCATAAGACCCAACGACTCCCTCTGAACGATCGACATTCAGTAACATGGTTGGAATACATGGCAGATATCGATGTTTCCATGGGCGGCCGAATGGCTGAAGAGCTTGGTACATCCATTTCTACCTCCTGGGCCGCAGTTCCTTCACCCTCTTCCGCGTAGTGTACGGGAAGGAGAATGTTTCAAGTGGGGCCTCGTCTGATTTACGGCAGGCCACTAGCATTGCCAATTCCATGATACAGGTTCGTCGTTGCTGTTTTGATGCATCTCTGCCAAACTGGTGTAACCGTTGAATCTGTGCAGAATTGGGGTTACTCGAATAAGGTTGGTTTGGCATATTATGATGTGAAGGACAACAGTATCAGCACTCAGAAGAGGCATGAAATTGAATCCGAGGTTGACCAGTAAGTGTGGTAAATCTGGGCGAGACAAGTTGACGTTCGTATGCATGCTTGCATTCAGCATGTTGAGTGAGTCAGCGGCTCGAGTCTACAAGCTCTTAGAAGAACACAGGGACGAGTTGATGTTGGCAAGTGCAATTGATTGAATCTCCCCCCGGTGAAATTAACCCTCTTCTTCCCAGCTCACTGATGCACTTGTGGAGTATGAGACGCTAGACGCGAACGTTGGTATCCTGCAGCAGACCTGTGTACTCATTCTAACACTTCTCGCTTCGTTTCCTAGGAGGTCCGACGCGTGATCGGAGGATCGAAGATACGGGACGGTCAAATGGCCGTCCCAACATCGCCTCCGGATACGTCGACGGGGTTACCATCAAAAGACAATGATTTAGGTGTTTCGTTACCTTCCCCACCGACGTCAAGGCCGGATGTGCGTCCTCCACTGCCACATCCGGAACCTGCGCCTGCGAAGGAGTCATAGCATTGGTTAGCATACGATATTTGCAACTAGCATCTTGGGACAGGTATTCTAGACTTTGGTCGAGCATTTGTAAGACGACATTGCACGGATGGAATCATACATGATCAACAAAGACTACAGGCGAGTCCAGGACGACTTGGAAATCGGATGCGCTGGGGCTCCAACACCGATTTGCCCATGTTAACATCCCGAAGTGCCCTTGACTGTGGCATCTAGCAGTATTCACATCATCTCGAAACTCAAACTTCTGCACGTGTGGCCGGCGGGGAGATTTAGCCAGTAGAAATTCCATGCAGACCTGTAGCTGAGGCCTGAGAGCAAGATACAAGGGAGGAGCATACAACCGTCTTCGCATCGAGCCTGAGTGTCCTTTAGCAAGCGCGTCCAAGGCACCTGCGTATCTCAACAACAGTGAAAACCCATACAATCCAGGAAAAATACAACATGCCGATCATCCTAATACTCAGAATTGGTGATTCAGGCTCTCGGGGTCAACAACACGCTCATTCTGATCGGAGTCTACAGGCTGAACGCCGCCCGATACGTCATCTCCATGGGTATTTTTGCGGGATTTTGATGATCCACTCTTCTTCTTTCTTCTCGACTCGGTCATGGCGTCTTCCGATCGCGCAAATCTATCCTTTTTCTTCGACTTTTTCGGCGAGGGTTCTGCCGCATATGCGTCTTCAAAGTTTGCAGGATAGTGCCATCTTCCACCAGACCGACCCGATGCAGACTCCTGAGAAGCAGTATTGATGCTACCTGTTGACGGGTTCTGGGTCTGTCTGTGGTATTCTTCATCTTCGGGCCTCCACAGTTCCGGTGTACGGTTCCCAAGGTCTTGGTCACGAGGGACATCTGGAATTTGACCTTCGTCGACAGGTCGGTTCTCGTAACGGTTCTCGGGATCTTGTTCGTAGCGGTGGCGCCATTCGGAACGCTTGATATTGCGCTCGATCTTTGTGGTGTCTACAAGGCCGTATCGAATGGCCCATTTGGGAGTGCGTGCGTGGGTTTTATTATTTCGGATGTTCTGAATGAGACGTTAGATAAAATTAACACTGCACGGGAACAAGGAAGGGAGAACCAGGCTGCGTACTTGGATGTAGAAATTATGGATGTGACCTTAATTGGAAATGGGATCAGCATGTGGCGCCCGACGATAGGGATCACAGAGAACGAACCTGGAATGTATCCTGCGATAGTAAGTGGTACGTTGATCCAGAAGTCACGACCAAAACCGAAGCGCGCCGCCACAGCTGCAAAGACAGCAAATGAGAAAGCACCCAAATTAAACCGATAAGGCATACCAGGGGTGGCAGCAGTGTGCCCAGAAGGAAGATGAAGAAATTCCATCCATGCGATTTCCGTTTCTGCACGGGCATGGCGTCGAAAAGGAGATTCGAGAGTAGCAGTGGGGGCCGTGTAAGCAGCCATTAGTCTTTATATTGCAACTGTGCCGTGTTTTGCGGGAGTTCGGCCTCTCACCTTATAGACATCACGGGTCAGACTATTATGAGCCTTCGGCATCTTGGTAAGGAGTTATTGAGATTGGAGGGCTTCACCCGTCGACTAAGCGCCTAACTTTTTCAGTTGTTGACGGCTCTGCCTCATCCACTGATGAAGATGCGATTGCTGTATCGGCCGTGGCGCTTGCCGAGCACAGCACGTGCAAGGCTGTTCCTCCAAGGTTTAAGCTGACGAACTGGGTTGCACCGAGGCACCCGTTAACGTCCTCCTTCTCCCTTCACCTCCCCTTCGTACGATCATGCCTGATTTGACACCATTCCTCGGTAAGCTATGATATTGTGCTGAAGCACCTGAAGAAGCCTGACTTTGACCTCTTTCCCAGGCACGTCAGCCCGTAAGTTAATTTGAGTCCTTTGGCACCAGCCAATGTTGACAGCGCCCATCCCTTCGACACATAGAGAAGGGCTTCATGGGCACTGGTACGCTTTTCCAATGCACTTAACAACCCCTGGTGCTGATGGCATTCTACATGTCCAGTGGTGATTCAAGCTGTCGTTGTGCTGACGATGGTAGGGATAACATTTGGTCTTGTGGAATCCCATGTCAGCACGACAAGTAATGCCAACGTGGGTTTTGTCGTAGTGAGCTTCTCCGGAGAGTCATCTCACTCAGATTGTCACTTCAGCTCCGAACACTCCCATGTTACTTTGCATTATTCATACTAGCGCGTAAGTGATATGAAGGACCCGAGTATAGAATCCTTCCACGGGGCCTTACTCTTTAGAACTCTTCCACCTTGTCTTGACCTTTGATGCGGTATGTTCCACGTTGCTGACATCAATTCCTACCTGTATGCTTACCATCATGATGCTCTACTTAACAGTTAAGACTTCGTAACATAATACAAGTCATTGGGTTGCTTCTTTTCCAAGGCGCCATAACGATCTTTGCTGGTATCCAGATTGAACAAGTCTGTCCCTGTGAATGAGCAAGTCTGCTTTTCCCTCACCTTCACATTATCGCTAGACGCATACGGCTCTCGTAACGAATCCAGGTGCTAATTGTCAGCAGTACTACGTGGTATGTGCATCAGCGCCACTTGGAGATTGGCGTTCCCTCACCCCAATCGCGCAGACGTGCTCAGGCCCCGGATCTCTCTGGTCTGTTCTCGCCCCATTCCAAGTAGTGACACCAGTAATCTCCGGAGGTAAGACAATAACTCACGTGTTTGCCATCGATGGACGCAAAGAACATTGACGTTCAGCTAACAGTCTCGTTCATCATCTTGTGTTACTTCGCGTGGAAACTGTACCACGAGTTTGGTTGGGCCGTTTTTCGCATGGTAGGAGCCGACCCACAACTCAAGAACATGTTCCGATACTACCAAATTATGATTGTCCTTCTGAAGGTTCGCCAAGCCACCTTGACATATCTAGGGACCACATAATAAACTAAATTATACTCTTGCCCGCATTCATTATGCAGTTCGACTACTTTGCCTTCATCGGCGTGACAATGCAACTGCTCATTCTCGTTGTGACACATAATTCTGCTCAATTCGTCCTCACGATCATCGCCTTGCCGGTTGTCTTCGTTCTGCTGCTCGCCTGTGGCGTGGCAGTAACAAAGGAGATCAAATGGCTGATGTTGATATCGATGGCCCTCATGCTAACATCAGAGGCGTATTTCATCTATAAATTTACTAGACTCTTCGAACCACAAACAAAGGGCGAGTATGTCACCACACGGAAAACCTTGGGAGTGTTCCGTGAGTGTTAGGTTTGCTTGCCCAAGTCAACGGTCAACTTGAACAAGCTTTTGGTTCTTTCAGTTGGAGCAGCATTCCTCCTCCTTCTCTCTACCTTCTGCGTGAGCATCAAGTGCTTCCGTGACTTCAACAAAGGCCTGAAGAGTGGGAAAATTCGTGGTCCGTTTCTCATTGATAGCTCCTACATCCTTTCGACTGTACTCACATACCTTGCCAGAGCCCACCTCATTACCCCGATGGAGCCAGCGAAGGCCGGAGTATCGTGACACAAAGCCTCTGACATTAGGATACACAGACAATATTGATCCGATGGAAGGCGGGGAGCCTCTGAGGGAAAGGATTTCGATCGAATGATCTCTTATTGTTCTTATGCCCCTTTGTAAGAGTTTTGTGATGCTTTCCATCTCATCCTCGCTATTCCCCGTGTTTTCGTAGATGGGTCAATATTTAGCCTAGTGGTGACATTTGGCACGTAGTATACTTTTGTACTTGTCCCCATATTCATATTCGGCTTCGCTTAGTACTAGGTTGGCCTCTTTGATTACTTGTACATTCCATGATATATACTTTAAATATGAAGACATTACTAGCCGGCTTCATGAATAACTGGTGGACGCCGCTTGTCGTGGCAAGAGCCCGCTACTCTTCCCACCTTCTGTTTTTCGTCATCACATTGCATCATATCCTGCCTTTGCTTACCACCATTCTTTGTTATTGGGGATTTTCCATTTTAGTTTCATGCACGGCTATTGCCGATCATCCAGCTAATGTCTTTGCGCCAACACCTGTTACACCACCTGTGTTATCATCTGTAACTTCATATGATGTTGAAGTGGCATTCCGAGTTATCGTGGCTATTATTTTTATGGGAAGCTTGTTGTTCTAATGTTTTGGCCTTTGCCCCCTTTGCGCCACACAGAAATGTAAGTAAGTAGGGGTCGGGTCCTATAGGGTACCCATTCCGTGTCGCTAAGCCTACCCACGAAGTGGTTTTTACCAAGGGGCCCCCAAGTATGGTGACAGCGGAAGGAGATCCCAAGATCAATATGGGGGCCGCAACGCGGAATGGGTACCCGACCCTGGCTGAGCAAGGTGCAAATTCACTCACGTAATAGATTACATTTTGTATAGGTCTCGCGAGTGTAGCCGCATTGCCTTATACGGAATCTCCACGCTATAGGTATAGAGAGACGCAAGCCAAAGTGTCGGGTTCGACGTACAGTTGCGGACAAGCAAACACAAGAAAAATTTCCTCGATTATGAATTCTCACGATGAAAGCCCCGTTTTTTGTCAAATTGTCATAATTCATCGATTCCAATCATTCTCCATGCCCAGAAGTCCATAAATCGAGCTTTTAATTTCTTGTGAGGTGCGAAAATTTTGCGGGCAGCTAAAAAATAAGCGCTGGGACTCAATCTTAGGCCCATTTGATAGTTTTGATAGCGAAGATGATGATTATGAGCAAACAGAAATATGAGAAGCCAAATTAAGGCATAAAATGGGGATAAGCAATGACGGGCCAATTTGCTTCTGACCCGACTACAAGCGCCGATGCACATACTGCCCCTGTCAGAGTACAGCCCGGTTAAGTCCGGACTGCTTACACACAACTGATGACACACCTGCCCCATACCCACACAGCCTGATCATCATCCCCGGACTGGCACAGACATTTGTTATATTTCCTTCTGCAGAGTGGCCCCGCTTCGCCGGGTATACTGACTTTATCATTCCCTGGGTAGCGAGTGAGGAAGATAACTTTCTTCTCTCACTTCCCCTCGCTGCTCAGGTATGTTGTACATAGTATATACAATGACATGACCTCACTTCCCCTCGCTGCTCAGCTGGAATCCCTATCGCAATTCGCTTTGCCGGGTTCCCCCATTGAGACTGACCCTGTCTGTCAGGGATGTGTCCGGGGTAGAGGGGGCCTGGGTGAGACGCCCGACACTGGAAGTCTCGCAGGGGGTGGAGCGGGCGTGCGTACTGGCAGGCCCGGCTCAGGAGGCAGTCCCTGGCCACTTAGACTGAAGTGGGAAAGGATGTTATTATTATTAAAAGGGAACACTATGTTGCTTACCTGAAGTGGGAAAGGATGAGAAGTGTCATATCCGTGCATACCCGACCCCGACCCGACTTCCGGACCTCCACCCTCTTCACCTCCGGAGTCATAACCTACCGCTGCCTTTCCGATACTCACCTTCGGTCTTGGCAACACACCCCTCCTCTTACCTCTCCGACCCCTTCTCCGTCCGTTCCGATACTCATCTCGGACCGAACATCGCCCTACTCGCCACCCTTCCTACAACTCCGCTCCCCCCTCACAACACCTCCACCCTCCCGTCATCCCCTACGCTTCTCCGTCCGTTCCGATACCCACCTTCGGACCTGACTACTCTTCCTTACCTGTCCCCTCTCTCCTTCTTCCGTCACTCCTCCGCCACCCTTCCGCCAAGTTACGACCATCCACCGCTGCTCCGTACTTCACACTCGGACACCGTTCGTACCTTACTCCGAGCCTCCGTCATAGTCCATACCTCGGACTTTGACTCCACCTCGGTCTTAGTCCATTGCATTGGTGACCTCATACTACGTGAACACCATTGCCAATATTCCTCGGACTTCCAACCCCGCCTCCGTAACCTCCGTAAGCTCCGCAACCCCCGAGCTTTGCGGACCGCCTCCGGCACTCTCGCCGTTTGTAATGTATTTCTCGCAATTCCCCCTCATCCCTATTTGGACTACTGCTTCTTTCTATTCTAGCCAGTTAGTCATCACCCCCACTTCCCCTCATCCTCCTGCCCCTCTGGGCCTCGCCCACTCTACCTCCTTTCGGATGTATCACAGGTCTTGCCCTATGACCTTCGGTACCGCTCCACTCCCTCTAACCCTTTGTTCCCGTTCAGACATCTTCGTTCCGATTCGGTCACCCTTTGTTCTCCTTGTGCTTTTGCCCCTTCCTTATATATATATCGGCGCTTGTACATACTCGTCTGGTTTCAGTCCGAAATCGACCTGAAATGCCCCCAAGAGACTTCCTGCTCACCTACTGTGAAATTAAGGACCAAATGGACAAACAGCAATGGCACAGCGCTCCGCTTGAGTCGCTGAGGCCAAGGTCCCTCCACGCTAAGTCTCCGATTCCACTCCGGAGTCGTCCGTTTCCGCCCATCTCTAACAAGAAGAAGGCTACTTCTTCGGTTCCCACTTCAGGTATGTTTATATACATGCGGCTTAGGTCACATGACGGGTGCCATGTCATCCTCGCGTACAGCCATAGTCACCCGGGTGTCCCCGTGGGGGATCCCGAGGGCGTCCACTGTGAACGCGCGAGCTGGAGATAGCGGGGGTCGCCCGAGGCGCCCGGGCTGGGCGTGTCGTGAGCGCGCTGCAGGTGGGTCAATGGTACATTGATACAAGGAAAAGTCGTCTGTGTAGAATAAGGAGAAAATAAAGAGAAGGTGAAATAAGTAAAGAGGGAGTGGAATGGAGAAAGAAGGAAAGAAAGGGGAGGGGGGAGGAGGTAGGGGAAGGCCGGGTGGGGCCGGGTCAGGCAGGTGTGCCCTGACACTGTCCCCCTCGGCCTCAGCTCCAGCGAAGGCTCGGGATCCCTCGACTTAGAGTCCAAGCAGCTCGGTACCCTGACAGCCCCATTACGACTGTTGGTTCAGTCACATGTCACACGCAAATTGTGAACTGAACTAAAGTAGGTTTTGTCACATGTCACAACGAGACTTTGAACAGATGAATGTATTGACAACTAATTCCCACGGGATCCGGGAGTTGCCGGAAACAGCAAATCCATTCAGTTTTTATTCAGTTCAATATTCTCACGTGATGTATGGCACATGTCACACTGAGGGATGAACTACGCAAGAAGGAGCCGGCAATCCCTGAAACCTGTGGGAATGAACCTACGGTTGTAATGGGACAGTACTCCATATTGCAACATGTCAATCCTCAAGTGTCTGAGCTGTGCATCCAAGTGTCCCATTCTTGGCATCTGAATCCAAAGATGACGTGCTGGAGGAATTCTCAAGGAAAATCAGTGTTGTGGCAACTCTTGTTGATGAACTAACATACTGTCCAAAGGATGGAATGAGCACCTTGGACAACCACTATGTGGGCCTTTATAGGGGGGACCTCAGGACGTTTGCATGGGGCCTAAAAGGCCTTTTTCACTATAAACATCCTAGGACATCCTGGCCATTCAGTTTCATTCATTTGTTGCAAACATCCTCAGATGTCCTAATTCAGTTTGATTCAATGGTTGCAAATTGTCCCGGAATGCCATACTCGTCCATCCCATGGTCTGTGCGCATGCTGACCACTGTCTAGAGGGATGTCAACACTGTTTCCCACGGTCTGAACACACTTTACATAGTTGAATAGCCCCTTTGAATAGCTTCCAGAATATATATTTTGAGACTGAATTGACCAATAAATTATTGAGAAAAACGCAAAATACTTTTTTGGACACGAGTCTTTTGATGGTGGCTGTCCAACTTATTTAATGTCTGTGCACAATACTGGTCACTGTCTGAAGGAGTGTCAGCACTGTTTCCCACGGCCCCAACACACTTTACACAGATAGATAGCCCCTTTGAATAGCTTCCAGAATATATAATTTGAGACTGAATTGACCAATAAATTATCGAGAAAAACACAAAATACTTTTTTGGACGCGAGTCTTTGGGTTAGTGTGGCTGTCCAACTCAATGTCTGTGCACAATGCTGGCCACTGTCTGAAGGGGTGTTGATGTTTCCCACGTCCCCAACACACTTTATGCAGATGGATAGCCCCTTTGAATAGCTTCCAGAATATATATTTTGAGACTGAATTGACCAATAAATCATCGAGAAAAACGCAAAATACTTTTTTGGACGCGAGTCTTTTGGGTTAGTGTGGCTGTCCACCTCATGTCTGTGCACAGTGCTGGTCATTGTCCGGAGGGGTGTCCAGACTGTTTCCCACGGTGTCAACACACTTTGCGTAGTTGGATAGCCCCTTCAAATAGCTTCCAGAATATATAATTTGAGACTAAATTGACAAGCAAGTTATTGAGAAAAATGCAAAATACTTTTTTGGATGCGAGTCTTTGGGATAGTGCTTGGGCCACTAAATTTCACTGACAGTCATCGAAGTCATCGAAATTCCCGGGTCACTGATATCCCAAAGACTCGTGTCCAAAAAAGTATTTTGCATTTTTCTCAATAACTTGCTTGTCAATTTAGTCTCAAATTATATATTCTGGAAGCTATTTGAAGGGGCTATCCAACTACGCAAAGTGTGTTGACACCGTGGGAAACAGTCTGGACACCCCTCCGGACAATGACCAGCACTGTGCACAGA